TATTAGTCCATTTTAAGTTGTACTGCAATGTTTTTTGAATTGTGAGTCTCTGAATGGATAAATAAATAAATAATGAATAAATAAAATATTTCAATAAAAGATACTACATTAAAACACATTTCTATAATGTCCAACCCCATTCATTCAGCAGTGTACAGTATTGTCTCCTTCCTTTTTGGCCTCCTGAGTACATACTCTCCATTGCAAAAAAAAACAACCCATCCTGGGCCTTTGAGTGGCATCTCCACTTTGCCCATTGCTCCGCTCCTATTGGCTGGCGAGGCGGGAAGGAGGCGGGACGAGCCGGAGAGTTTCCGGGGAGGGAAAACAAATGACGTCACCCAGCGTCTCAACGTTCCATCCTCTCTACTGGCTGTCCATTCAGAAAAAATCAGGCTCCTCCCCCTTTCCCTCCCAGGCCACGCCCCTTGCATTGTGTAACTTTGAACTGGCCCACCAGAAGGGCTCTCCGGGCAGGTAAGGGGCTCCAGGTGGGAGGGGAGCCAAGGGGAGCCGCACTGGGGAATTGATGCAGTTTGATGCCGCTTGGACTGCCATGGCTCCAGGATATGGAAGGGGGGAAAGAGCAGATCAGCTTGACTAGGCCTTGAGATTTCTCACCAAGCTACAGATCCCTTAGAACTGAGCCATGGCATTTAAAGCGGTTTCAAACTGGATTCATTCCACAGTGTGGATGCAGCCTTGAGGGGTCTGTCTGTTGAGGTTCCACAGTGGGCCTGCGTACTCAGCAGCAGAGTAGCCAAGCACCAGGGCAGATGTCTTCACTGTGTCTGGTTGTGATCCCCAGGTTGTGCCAATTAATCCCCAGGTTGTGCTAGTTAATTCCCAGTTAAAGGCCATTAAAACTCAGGGGGGAAATCCAAAAGATAAGCAGGGGAAGGGGGGGGGGAGACCCTGGAAATAATGATCAACAGCAGATCTCTTTTGAACCTTCTAATTATTACTAATTAATTATTATTATTATTATTATTATTATATCTATATAAATAAAAATGTAATGTTTGTTGGTGGGATTAACATAACTCAAAAACCACTGGACGAATTGACACGAAATTTGGACACAACACACCTAACAGTCCAACGAGTGTCCATCACCCATAAACACACGCACAAAATCCCAGTGGAATGGACTTAAAACCCCCAAAAATACACCATATATACATACACACATACACTCGTATACATACGCACATGCACACATTCATACACACACGTGTGTGTGTATATATATATATATATATATATATGCACAAATACACATATATACACTCATACATATACACATACACACACATATACATATCCACATACATACATATATACACACAAATATGTATATAGACAAGCACACACATCTGCACAATGTGCATGTACACATATAAATACACAAATATATACACACATATATATACACGTATACAAAATATGCATGTACATATATAAACACACAAATATATGCACACATATGTATACACACACATATATACACCCACATATATATATGCCAGCACACATATATACACACATATACACAATATGCATGTACACATATAAACACACAAATACACAAATATATACACCCACATATATATACGCAAACACACATATATACACAATATGCATGTACACATATAAACACACAAATATATGCACACATATATATACGCACATATATATACACCCACATATATATATATACGCAAGCACACAAATATACACATTATGCATGTACACATATAAATGCACAAATATATACACACATATATACACTCACATATATATACGCAAACACACATATATACACACGTATACACAATATGTATGTACACATATAAACACAAATACACAAATATATGCACACATATATATACACACACACATGTACACCCACATATATATACACAAACACACATATATACACACATATACACAATATGCATGTACACATATAAACACACAAATATATGCACACATATATATACGCACACATATATACACCCACATATATATATACGCAAACACACAAATATACACAATATGCATGTACACATATAAATACACAAATATATACACACATATATATACGCAAACACACATATATACACACGTATACACAATATGCATGTACACATATAAACACACAAATACACACATATATACACCCACATATATATACGCAAACACATATATACAAACGTATAAACAATATGCATGTACACATATAAACACACAAATATATGCACACATATATATACACACATATATATACACCCACATATATATACGCAAACACACATATATACACACATATACACAATATGCATGTACACATATAAACACACAAATGCACATATATATACACAAACACATATACACACACATATATATATATATATATATATGCAAACACACATATATACACATATATACACACACAAAACATACACACAGATTGGGCCACAGCAGTGCGTGGTAGGGGACAGCTAGTAATATAATAATAATTTTTGTATAAATGAGCCAAAATTCCTATCAGCTGTTAGGCATTGTGGGAGTTGAAGTCCAGAACACCTGGAGGACCCAAGTTTGCCCATACTTTGTTTAGGTAATGATGATGATGATATTGAACTGTAGTTCCCAGCATTCCTCGCCACCAGGAATGATGGGAGTTGTAGTCTACCCCTTTGGCCATGTAGGGGAGGAGATAAGAGACCACCCGCTTTCATCTCCTCTAATTTATGCTTGCAAAACTTTCTTTGAGCCACCTGTTTGCTCTTGTGTAAGAGGTGTTGCTCTTTATGCAACACATGCCAGGAGAAAAATAGAATTATACCCTGCAGGAATGCATGAGTAAGACCTTTAATGAGCATTCGTAGGGCACGGATTAATTACCAGCCTCTCCTTTGGTTTGGAATACCTGGAATCCGCTCCAGAGGAATGTGAAGTGGGCAAAGGAGCAAGCGCTGCAGGGCATGTGCAGAGTGTACTTTTATTGCATCCCATTTATTTATTTATTCATGGCATTTGTGTGCTGCTTTTCTCCCAGGGTGAGCGAGAGCCACAGAGCCTCTGTTCAGTTTGTTTCCAAGTTCTTGGTGAATCTGTTCAAAAACTAATAGCCAACTGAACCTAGTTAAAGTTTGCTCAGGGCCCTTCCACACAGCACTATATCCCAGAATGTCAAGGCAAAAAAAATCCCACAATATCTGCTTTGAACTGGGTTATCCAAGTCCATACTCAGATAATGTGAGAATTTCCGCCTTGATAATCTGTGTGGAAATGTTTTCTTATGACTGCCCATTAAAAATAAACAAATAGACAATTGGTTGTGAATTTAGAATGAGCCTTATTGTTGCAAGAATAAGCCCGTAGATGTAACTGCCAGGTAGGATCCATAAAGGGCGTGTCTACACTGCAGAATTAATGCAGTTTGACACCACTTTAACTTCCATGGCTCAATGCTATGGAATCCTGGAAGTTGTGGTTTCAGAAGGCCTTTATGACGGATCTAAAGGCCTTCTGAAACCACAAGCATCGAATAAACTAAACCAGAAGGCCTTTATGAGTGCTGGTGCCTCACCAAACTACAAACCCCATCATTCCACAGGCATGGAATACTGGGATTTGTAGTTTGGTGAGGCACCAACAGTCTTTGGCTGAAGAGGCTACATATCTTGTGAACCAATAATAATAATAATAATAACAATAATAATAATACAATCAGAGTCGTAACACCGTCATAACTCAGTTGATCCATTGGAACTTTTGCCACAAATACCATCTGCCTACGACAAAGATTCTGGCAGCCCAAGAACAAGCCATTAGAACCAATGCCATCAAAGCCAGAATTGAAAAGTTGACAACAGATCCCAAATGTAGACTCTGCAAGGAAGCAGATGAAACAATAGATCATATCCTCAGCTGCTGCAAGAAGATCGCACAGACAGACTACAAGCAGAGGCATAACACCGTTGCTCAGATGATTCCCTTCTTCTTTCTTCCTTCTCTACCTGTTTCTTTCCTCCCTTCTTTGGTTCCATTCTTCCTTCTCTCTTTCCTTCCTTCTCTTCCTTCTCTCCTTCCTTCCTTCTTTCCTTTTATTTTCTTCTCTCCTTCCTTCTTCCTTCTTTCCTTCTTTCCTTCTCTCTCTTTCTCCCTCCTCCCTCCCTCCCTCCCTCCCTCCTCCTCCTTCCTTCCTTCCTTCCTCCCTCCTCCCTCCCTCCCTCCCTCTCTTTCCTTCCTTCTTTCCTTTTCCTTCCTCTCCTTCTTTCTTTCCCTTCTTTCTTCCTTCTCTACCTGTTTCTTTCCTCCCTTCCTTTGCTCTTTGGTTCCATCCTTCCTTCTCTCTTTCCTTCCTTCTCTCCTTCCTTCCCTCTCTTTCCTTCCTTCTTTCACTTTTTATTTCTTTCTCTCCTTCCTTCCTTCACTACATTTCTTTCTCTCTCTCTCTTGTTCCTTCTCTCCTTCCTTCCCTCTCTCTTTCCTTCCTTCTTTCACTTTTTAATTTTCTTCTCATTCCTTCCTTCTTTACCTTTCTTTCTTTCCTTCTCTCCTTCCCTCCTTCTTTTCTCTCCCTCCTTCCTTCCTTCTTTCTTTCTTCCTTTCCCCTTTATGTGTATATGTGTTTTCTGTGTGTGTGTGTGTATGTGTGTGTGTGTGTGTGTGTATGTATATATATGCATATTTGTGTGTGTGTATTTGTGTATGTGTGTATATATGTGTGTTTGTGTATATATGTGGTTTTGTGCATGTGTTGTAATGTATTTTTGGTTTGTTTTTTTTTGTTTTTTTGCTTTTTAAGTCTCTTTTGCTGTGTTTTTCAGTATTTTTCTGAATGATTTTCACTAGTTGGCTTGAGAGGTGTCTTGTGCCTGAATTTGGTGTCAATCCGCCCAGTGGTTTTTGAGTTATGTTCATCCCACAAACGAACATTACATTTTTGTTTATATAGATGTATTTATTTACTTACTTACTTTATTTGTATACCGCTGTTCTCAGCCCTTAGGCGACTCACAGCGGTTAACAACAAGAACAGCAAAAATTCAATGTTACCATAACACGGTATAAAAAACAGTTAACATCATAACATATTATAGAAAAGTATACAATTAACAACAATATACAATTAACACCAATAGCCATTCGCTAGCGTCTCATCACTAAAAACATGATCCAGATCCGCCATCCATTGTTCCATTCCTATATTCATTACATTCATTGCACTGACCAGGTTTTCACTTTTTTACGGAATACCATTAATGATGGAGCTAGTCTAATGTCCGTGGGAAGGGCGTTCCACAGCCACGGGGCCACCACCGAGAAGGCCCTATCTCTCGTCCCCGCCAGCCGTGCCTGGGAGGCTGGTGGGATCGAGAGCAGGGCCTCCCAGGAAGATCTCAAAGTCCTGGTGGGTTCATAGGCAGAGATGCGGTCAGATAGGTAGATCATAGAATCATAGCATCAAAGAGTTGGAAGAGACCTCATGGGCCATCCAGTCCAACCCCCTGCCAAGAAGCAGGAATATTGCATTCAAATCACCCCTGACAGATGGCCATCCAGCCTCTGTTTAAAAGCTTCCAAAGAAGGAGCCTCCACCACACTCCGGGGCAGAGAGTTCCACTGCTGAACGGCTCTCACAGTCAGGAAGTTCTTCCTCATGTTCAGATGGAATCTCCTCTCTTGTACTTTGAAGCCATTGTTCCGCGTCCTAGTCTCCAAGGAAGCAGAAAACAAGCTTGCTCCCTCCTCCCTGTGGCTTCCTCTCACATATTTATACATGGCTATCATATCTCCTCTCAGCCTTCTCTTCTTCAGGCTAAACATGCCCAGCTCTTTAAGCAGCTTCTTCATAGGGCTTGTTCTCCAGACCCTTGATCATTTTAGTCGCCCTCCTCTGGACACATTCCAGCTTGTCAATATCTCTCTTGAATTGTGGTGCCCAGAATTGGACACAATATTCCAGGTGTGGTCTAACCAAGGCGGAATAGAACATGGGGAGCATTACTTCCCTAGATCTAGACACTAGGCTCCTATTGATGCAGGCCAAAATCCCATTGGCTTTTTTTGCTGCCACATCACATTGTTGGCTCATGTTTCCGGGGACAACCCAATGGCTTCCTCGATGGAATGACCCCTCCTCCACGGGTTATGTCAAAATCCATAATTTTGGTCCCCAAACCTATGCCGACTAATATACATGAACTTGACTTGCAAGGTAGCCTTTGACATTGGATCTTTTGTGCTTAATTCCAGGCAGTTTCCCAATCTGCTTCCAGGAAGGAGGCTGGCCAGTGTTTTGTTCGGTTCCATTTCCTTTTGGGGACGGCGGACTTTAATAGGAGTCCCAGGAAAGTTAGAGGTAGCAGCAGCCATGCCGCAGAAGAGGAAGAAGCGGAAGCCGCTGGCGCCGGGAAACTCTGAGAACGAGGCAGGAGGAGATGGAGCGACATCCGTCGCGTCGGAAAGCGGTGGCGAAGAAGCAGAAGAAGCCCCGGAAGAGAAGAAGAAGCCGAAGAAGGCCGATGCAGGAGCCAAAGGTCCGTATTTGACCGAAGCAGTGAAAGTGAGCCGCCTCAGGATGGCCCCTTCCGCCGCGGAGTTCCACTATAACAAGAAACGCGTCCGGATGATTTCGGAAAACTCAGATCTCAAGGAAGGAGCGGAGGGGATCCTGTACTGGATGTCGCGGGACCAGAGAGTGCAAGGTAAGAGATACGGTGACACCTTGACTTAAGTCGGAGCCACGGTGGCACAATGGGTTAAACCCTTGTGCCGGCTGAACCGCTGACCTGAAGGTCGGTGGTTCGAATCCACAAGATAGGGTGAGTTTTCATCTGTCAGCCCCAGCTTCCCATGCAGGTACATGAGAGAAGCCTCCCATAGGATGGCAACACATCTGGACGACATCCCTTGTGCCACAAGATAGGGTGAGTTCTCATCTGTCAGCCCCAGCTTCCCATGCAGGGACATGAGAGAAGCCTCCCATAGGATGGCAACACATCTGGACGACATCCCTTGTGCCGACTGAAGGTCGGTGGTTCGAATCCGCAAGATAGGGTGAGCTCTCGTCTGTCAGCCCCAGCTTCCCATGCAGGGACATGGGAAGCCTCCCATAGGATGGCAACACATCTGGATGACATCCCTTGTGCCGACTGAAGGTCGGTGGTTCGAATCCGCAAGATAGGGTGAGCTCTCGTCTGTCAGCCCCAGCTTCCCATGCAGGGACATGGGAAGCCTCCCATAGGATGGCAACACATCTGGATGACATCCCTTGTGCCGACTGAAGGTCGGTGGTTCGAATCCACAAGATAGGGTGAGTTCTCATCTTTCAGCCCTAGCTTCCCATTCAGGGACATGAGAGAAGCCTCCCATAGGATGGCAACACATCTGGACGACATCTCTTGTGCCGACTGAAGGTCGGTGATTCGAATCCACAAAACCCTTGTGCCGACTGAACTGCTGACCTGAAGGTCGGTGGTTCGAATCCACAAGATAGGGTGAGTTTTCATCTGTCAGCCCCAGCTTCCCATGCAGGGACATGAGAGAAGCCTCCCATAGGATGGCAACACATCTGGACGACATCCCTTGTGCCGACTGAAGGTCGGTGGTTCGAATCCGCAAGATAGGGTGAGCTCTCGTCTGTCAGCCCCAGCTTCCCATGCAGGGACATGGGAAGCCTCCCATAGGATGGCAACACATCTGGATGACATCCCTTGTGCCGACTGAAGGTCGGTGGTTCGAATCCACAAGATAGGGTGAGTTCTCATCTGTCAGCCCCAGCTTCCCATGCAGGGACATGAGAGAAGCCTCCCATAGGATGGCAACACATCTGGACGACATCCCTTGTGCCGACTGAAGGTCGGTGGTTCGAATCCGCAAGATAGGGTGAGCTTCTCATCTGTCAGCCCCAGCTTCCCATGCAGGGACATGAGAGAAGCCTCCCATAGGATGGCAACACATCTGGACGACATCCCTTGTGCCGACTGAAGGTCGGTGGTTCAAATCCGCAAGATAGGGTGAGCTCTCATCTGTCAGCCCCAGCTTCCCATGCAGGGACATGAGAGAAGCCTCCCATAGGATGGCAACACATCTGGACGACATCCCTTGTGCCGACTGAAGGTCGGTGGTTCAAATCCGCAAGATAGGGTGAGTTCTCATCTGTCAGCCCCAGCTTCCCATGCAGGGACATGAGAGAAGCCTCCCATAGGATGGCAACACATCTGGACGACATCCCTTGTGCCGACTGAAGGTCGGTGGTTCGAATCCGCAAGATAGGGTGAGCTCTCATCTGTCAGCCCCAGCTTCCCATGCAGGGACATGGGAAGCCTCCCATAGGATGGCAACACATCTGGATGACATCCCTTGTGCCGACTGAAGGTCGGTGGTTCGAATCCACAAGATAGGGTGAGCTCTCATCTGTCAGCCCCAGCTTCCCATGCAGGGACATGGGAAGCCTCCCATAGGATGGCAACACATCTGGATGACATCCCTTGTGCCGACTGAAGGTCGGTGGTTCGAATCCGCAAGATAGGGTGAGCTCTCGTCTGTCAGCCCCAGCTTCCCATGCAGGGACATGAGAGAAGCCTCCCATAGGATGGCAACACATCCGGACAACATCCCTTGAGCATTCTTCTTGTCTCCTGAACTGTGCTTATAATATAATATAATGTAATGTAATGTAATGTAATATATTGTATTGTATTGTATATGCATATAATAGTGATAATACTTATAATGTAATGCAATATACTACTAATAATAATAAAAATATAGTATTATATATTTTATATTAAATGTGATATTACTAATTATATTACAGTATAATAATGTAATGTATTGTATTGTATATGCATATAATAGTGATAATATTATAATGTAATACAATATACTACTACTAATAATAATATAGTATTATAATTATATATATTTATATTAAATGTAATATTACTAATAATATTACAGTATAACGTTATAGTACAATGTAATATATAATATTAATATTGTACTATGATAATAATATATATTGTATACACATATAATAGTGATAATATTATAGTGTAATACAATATACTACTAATAATAATATAGTATTATAATTATATATATTTATATTAAATGTAACATTACTAATAATATTACAGTATAATGTTATAGTACAATGTAATATGTAATATTAATATTGTGCTATGATAATATATTGGATTTCCTTTTTACTTGTAAGCCGCTCTGAGTCCCCTTCGGAGTGAAAGAGGTGGCATATAAATGTCATAAATTCCTAGCGGCTGTTAGGAATTGTGGGAGTTGAAGTCCAAAACACCTGGAGGGCCAAAGTTTAAATCTTGCCTAGAATTGCAGCTGATGTCCCTTTGCCTCCCCAGACAACTGGGCCTTCCTCTACGCCCAGCGCCTGGCCTTGAAACAGAACCTCCCGCTGCACGTCGCCTTCTGCCTGGTGCCCAGATTCCTGGAGGCCACCATTCGCCACTTTGGCTTCCTGCTCAAGGGCCTCAAGGAAGTGGCCGAGGTATGGCATGGCTGGCTGGCTGGCTGGCTGGCTGGCTGGCTGGCTGGCTGGCTGGCTGGCTGGCTGGATAGATAGATAGATAGATAGATAGATAGATAGATAGATAGATAGATAGATAGTAGAAAGATAGATCATAGATACATGATGAATACACAGATGATAGATAGAAGATAGGTGATTGGCAGATGATAGATGAAATGAATGCATATGGAAGATGGATGGATGGAAGGATGGATAGATGTCTCAGTAGACGAATGGATGGATGGATGGATGGATGGATGGATGGATGGATGGATGGATGGATGGATGGATGGATGGATGGATGGAAGAAAAGATGGGTGGTGGGTGGAAGAATGGATGCATGGCATGGCATGGCAGGATAGATAGATAGATAGATAGATAGATAGATAGATAGATAGATAGATAGATAGATAGATAGAAATAGATAGATAGATAGATAGATAGATAGATAGATAGATAGACAGATAGATGGGAGGGAGGGAGGGAGAGATGGATGGATGGATGATGGATGGATGGATGGATGGATGGATGGATAGATAGATAGATAGATAGATAGATAGATAGATAGATAGATGGAAGAAAAGATGGGTGGGTGGAAGAATGGATGGATGTATGGCTGGGTGGGTGGATGGATGGATGGATGGATGGATGGATGGATGGATAGATAGAGGAAGGATGGATGGATGGAAGAATGGATGGATATGGATAGATGATGGATGGATGGATGGATGGATGGATGGATGGATGGATAGAAAGATAGATAGATAGATAGATAGATAGATAGATAGATGGAAGAAAAGATGGGTGGGTGGAAGAATGGATGTATGTATGGCGTGGGTGGATGGATGGATGGATGGGTGGATGGATAGAAGGAAGAAAAAAGGGTAGGTGGAAGAATGGATGGATGGGTGTTCACTTTTGGGCATATTGAGTCTCTGTGCCAAGTTTGGTCCAGATCCATCATTGTTTGAGTCCACAGTGCTCTCTGGATGTAGGTGAACTACAACTCTCAAACTCAAGGTCAATGCCCACCAAACCCTTCCAGTATTTTCTGTTGGTCACAGGAGTTCTATGTGCCAAATTTGGTTCAATTCCATCATTGGTGGTGTTCAGAATGCTCTTTGATTGTAGGTGAACTATAAATCCCAGCAACTACAACTCCCAAATGACAAAAATCTCTCCTCCCCGCCCTGCCAACCCCACCAGTATCCAAATTTGGGCATCTTGGGTATTTGTGAATGAAAATACATCCTGCATATCAGATATTTACATTACGACTCATAACAGTAGGAAAATTAGAGTTAGGAAGTAGCAACGAAAATAATTTTGTGGTTGGGGGTCACCACAACATGAGGAACTATATTAAGGAGTCGCGGCATTAGGAAGGTTGAGAGACACTGACCTAGATAGTCTTAGAGAGGGGTTCACTCAAGTTTATTTACTTTTCTTCTGAACCCCAGGATAGTCGATGTAATCATGACGTAAAGCCCAACATGTGCGCCCATGAATGCAGTGCCAGCCTAAGACCAGATGCCCTGTGTTTGGTTTTGCAGGAATGCCAGCAGCTCAGCATCCCCTTCCACTTGCTCATCGGCTTGGCCAAAGACGTGCTGCCTCCCTTTGTGGAAAAGCACAACTTTGCCGGGGTGGTGACGGACTTTTCCCCCCTCCGCGTCCCCATGCAGTGGGTGCAGGACGTGCGGGAACGGCTGCCGCCGGACGTGCCCTTTGTGCAGGTGAGCATCCCACAAGGCCGGCTAGAGCGAGATTTGAGGAGGGGGGGGGCACAGTGTGTGCTCATTAAATGGTCTGAGGAGTTGCTATATTTATATTGTCAATATTGTGAAAAGAGGCATTTCAGGTAACAGATTTATGACGGATTTCAAATGCTATTATGAATCTCTCATTATAAATCGTGCCACCTGCCACCACTATAACAAATAATGAAATATCAATCCCGGCACGGGCACCAATTATAACTTATATACTATAATATCCCACAGCTGAACACCACAGTAAAGGATTATAAGTAATATCACACCACTGGACACCAGTAAGAAGGAAAATATCACAACCAGTGACGTGAGGCTAGAGGCCTATTGATAATATGTCTGGGCAAGATGATTCTTCCCCCAGAGATTCACTTTTCCCTCTAAAATCCTACCCCTGTGCCTCCAAATTGGTAGCAAGATGTGGATAGATATGTGTAATGGTAGGTTGAACACTGCTTGTCTTTTAGTCTTCTTTTGGTTTAAAGCTGCCACCAACCCAAGTTGCCTTAGGATTTTTAAAAGTTTTTGTGGTAAAATTTTCCCACTTCTCTAACAACACTGCTCTCTCCTAGCTCCCAGAATGACTATTTCATAAGAGGCCTTTCTGTAATATCAGTATGTTAAAGATGCTGGAATTATCACAAAGGATTAATGATAGATTGAGGAACGATAGAGACCTTTTTGAAAGTTAAATAGAAAAAGATTTATAAAAACTAGACAACTAACTTCTTCTGAGAGGTACAAAACGCTTGACTTGTTACGAAAGTACTACAGCTTGGTGATTGCTAGAATAAGTTTCTTCACTTAGTTACATACAGAGCTAATCAAACAGATCTAGCTTCTAGTAACAAAAATCCCTCACTCTACTTCAGAGAAATAGTAATGAGTTTCTGACTAACCTATCCTAGGTAGTCCCCTGAGTTATCAGCTAACTCTTCCCAGAGTTCTTCCTGCTAACTAACTCAGTCTAGAGAGCTAATCTCTTGTGTTATCTCCCACAAGAAATCAGGTTGCTACCTGACCTTTCCTGTCAGCTAATCAGCCCCTGTCTGACACAGACTCTCTCTCCCTGAAAACAGAGTTTCAAAAACACTCCTTCTCCCGCCAGCTCCCAGTTTTCAACTCCACAGAAGCTGAAATCTTTTCCCCGGATGCCTTTTGCTGGAGATTTTTTAATGGCCTCATAAATTTGTTAAATTAGCCTCCCCACACATAGGTGGTACCGAAATTTCCTACTTAACAGATGTAACTGTCTTTTGGGTTGCAAAGGTTGACAACAAGCTACACAAATTGGCCGGAAGTTCACTCCGACCCGGGCTGGCTTCGAAATCATGATGTTTCAGTCAGTAGTGATCTTAATGCAGCTGACACCCAGCCAGTTGCGCCACAGTCCCGGTGACCTTATCAAACTACGCCTTCCATGATTCCATAGCATTGAGCCATGGCTGCTAAAGTGATGTTGAACTGCATTAATTCTGCAGTGTAGATGCATCCCAAATCTATTTCATCAAACACAGTACAATGGCAAATGCTGACCTGCTGCTCGCATGAATAGTCATCGATACCGTATCAAATGGCACATCAAATGATGTTGTTTTGGCATCTCATGTGGAACTTCAGTACCACTTAGAAAAAGTTACTTTGCCAGTTACAACTCCCAGAATCTCCTTGTGGCACAAACTAAAGAAAATATAGTTATTGAACTGCGATTGCAGTACCCAAAAGTAACTTTCCTAAGCTTTATGTTGAATTCTGCCTCTTTTATTAGGCTTCCATTCACACATTTTGTAGGGGAAATTTGGGAAGTTACAGTACCCAAAAAGGAACTTTTCCAAGCCTGTTTCAAACATACCACATTCCAGCAGCATTCTGTTTGCACATTTTCACCTAATGGCTGCAGAGTGTTGAGAATCCAGCTGATGTGTTTGCAGAAGCATGCCCAGCACATGCCCAGCTCTTTAAGCCGCTCCTCATAGGGCTTGTTCTCCAGACCCTTGATCATTTTAGGAGGGCAACGAAAATGATCAAGGGCCTGGAGAACAAACCCTATGAGGAGCGGCTTAAAGAGCAGGGCATGTTTAGCCTGAAGAAGAGAAGGCTGAGAGGAGACATGATAGCCATGTATAAGTATGTGAGAGGAAGCCACAGGGAGGAGGGAGCAAGCTTGTTTTCTGCTTCCTTGGAGACTAGGACGCAATGGAACAATGGCTTCAAACTACAAGAGAGGAGATTCCATCTGAACATGAGGAAGAACTTCCTGACTGTGAGAGCCGTTCAGCAGTGGAACTCTCTGCCCTGTAGTGGAGGCTCCTTCTTTGGAAGCTTTTAAACAGAGGCTAGATGGCCATCTGTCGGGGAGTGCTTTGAATGCAATATTCCTGCTTCTTGGCAGAATGGGGTTGGACTGGATGACCCATGAGGTCTCTTCCAACTCTAGGATTCCATAATTCTAAGCAGACAGGCCCAAATGCAACTCCAACATGACAAATACCTTATTATATTTTAAAACTAGCCGTCCCCTGCCACGTGTTGCTGTGGCCCACATGGGGATTCTGTGTGGGAGGTTTGGCCCAATTCTACATTGGTGGGGTTCAGAATGCTCTGTGATTGTAGGTGAACTATAAATCCCAGCAACTACAACTCCCAAATGTCAAGATTCTATTTTCCCCAAACTCCACCAGTGTTCACATTTGGGCATATTGAGTACTCGTGTAGAGTTTGGTCCAGATCCATCATTGTTTGAGTCCACAGTGATCTCTGGATGTAGGTGAACTACAACTCCAAAACCAAAGGACACTGCCCACCAAACCCTCCAGTATTTTCTGTTGGTCATGGGAGAACTGTGTGCCAAGTTTGGTCCAATTCCATCATTGGTGGGGTTCAGAATGCTCTTTGATTGCAGGTGAACTATAAATCCCAGCAACTACAACTCCCAAATTACAAAATCATTTTTTTGAGTGAAGGACATACATTGGGTTGTTATGTGTCTTGTGTCCAAATTTGGTGTCAATTCCTCCAGTGGTTTTTGAGTTCTGTTAATCCCACAAACGAACATTACATTTTTATTGATATAGCTATTCTGTCCTCCAGATCGATGCTCATAATGTTGTTCCCTGCTGGGTTGCTTCAGAGAAGCAAGAATATGGAGCGAGGACGATACGGCGGAAGATTCACGACCGGCTGTCTGAGTTCCTTACCGAATTCCCACCTATTATCCAACACCCGCACCTGGCTGCGTCCCAGGCAGAGGTAAAATCCAGCATTTCATCATGATGGGTCTGCAGCATTCAGAAATCATTGGCTTCCCAGAGGTTTGGGGCTACGATTCCCATATCTAGTTTGTCACTTGGGGGCGGCCTGAACATGGTTGGTAAAGGATGACGCATCTCGCATTAAAGGAAGAGCAAGTAAAGCATCTCTAACATCGTGGGAGACGTGGTGAGTTCTAGTCAACAGAGTTGCAATTGAGGCAAAGCCTTGTACCTGACTTGACTTATATTCTGAAACCTGGTCGGACTTGTCACGGGATGTGCTGATATGTGAAGTGATTTATAGTTTCCAAATCACGACCTCCCTGACCCGCTGCAAGGTGAAAAGCAAGTGTCCCAGAAGCAAGCAAAATACAGGAGAGCCCTTTCACAACAAAAACATGCTTCAACCCGTCTGTCAGCAGAGTCCAACTCTGCCAGCATCTGACCTTGTCTACACACTGTATGGTAAACTCACGGATTCAGGTTTCCATCCAAAATATCTGGAGGCTTTAATCTTCACAGTTGCAATATATACAAATATACAATCAGGATTCACAGAGCCTCAGACAGGCTTGTCCTTGCAAACGATCTGATCTCAGAGAGTCACATACACAGAATACACACAATGAGTCACGAAGGAGAGAGAAAGATGGATCCTTTCAAGCTCCTTATATAGTCATCTGCTGATAGGTCATCATCAAATAACTTTTAATGTGAATATAATGTGAATATAAGTGGATTATTTCATTCCCCTTATATAGCCACCTGCTATATATATCTGGAGGCTTTAATCTTCACAGTTGCAATATATACAAATATGCAATCAGGATTCACAGAGCCTCAGACAGGCTTGTCCTTGCAAACGATCTGATCTCAGAGAGTCACATACACAGAATACACACAATGAGTCACGAAGGAGAGAGAAAGATGGATCCTTTCAAGCTCCTTATATAGTCATCTGCTGATAGGTCATCATCAAATAACTTTTAATGTGAATATAATGTGAATATAAGTGGATTATTTCATTCCCCTTATATAGCCACCTGCTATATATATCTGGAGGCTTTAATCTTCACAGTTGCAATATATACAAATATGCAATCAGGATTCACAGAGCCTCAGACAGGCTTGTCCTTGCAAACGATCTGATCTCAGAGAGTCACATACACAGAATACACACAATGAGTCACGAAGGAGAGAGAAAGATGGATCCTTTCAAGCTCCTTATATAGTCATCTGCTCCACTGGCTGCCGATTCAGTTCCGAGCACAATTCAAGGTGCTGGTTTTGACCTACAAAACCCTGTACGGTTCCGGTCCAGTGTACCTGTCCGAACGTATCTCCCTCTACGTCCCACCCCGGAGTCTGAGATCATCTGGGGAGGCCCTGCTCTCGATCCCACCACTGTCACAAGTGAGGCTGGTGGGGACGAGGAGCAGGGCTTTCTCAGTGGTGGCCCCTCACTGTGGAACTCACTCCCGGGGAAATCAGGGCATCATCATCCCTCCTCGCCTTTAGGAGAAGGGTGAAGACTTGGTTATGGGACCAGGCCTTTGGGCACTCCGGCAATTAAATCAGACAACCAGGCGAGTAAGACCAGCAGGATTGATGAAGTGGAACGTAAACCTAGATCTATGAGTTAACGAACGCTGACCATGTAAGAGGAGAAACTGGGTTTGTATTTGGTTTTATTGATTTTATTGATTTTATGGTTATAATGTATATTTGGTGTTAACTGTGTATTGATGTAATTTTGTGTTTGATTGTTTTTATGATGCAGGTATAATAACCTCCTTCGAATGGCCGTCTGGGCAGGGGGTCAAACAATCCCACCACTGCCCCACCAATTATAATAACTTAGAGAGGTTATCAAGGCAGGGGGGTCAAAGAATCCCACCACTGTCTTTCCTGACAATAAGGATTTCACACCACTTTGGCTCTTATAGGGTTTGAGGGAATGTCTCGTTATGTAAAACCTTCGCTGCCACCATAAACTAAAGAAACACGAACCCTCTAGCTATTTAAAATGTTAAAATGCTGTTTAAAATAATAAAAGGCTTTTTACTCCACCAAATGTTGTGTATTATCAAGGGCTTTCTTTGAGGGGAAAACAGGAGAGGTTGATTCAACAAGGAAAATGACTCCAACCAAAAATGGCACTTGACTCAGGCTTCAATTTTAAAAATAACAAGAAAGAGTTTATTGATTACAAATTACAGAATTAAAAGTGAATGCAGGTTCAGAGGCTTAGCTGTTACCAATAAAAGTGTTCTTGTTTCTTAGAAGCGTAATGGTTACTTGAGAGAATGGTTCTTTCCTTTGTTACAATTTCTTAAACACAAAAACCCAGCTATTTTCTTTCCTAAAATAGCTGTAACTCAGTCTGCCACAGCCTACTGTGCTGTGCAAACTACAGGCAAGCTGCCTATTCTTAACAGAGTCTCCTAAAACATCCAAATCCTACTCTAATCTCTCTCAGAACTGAACTGCTCTCTACTCTACTCAGAACTGCACTCTACACAGAACTGAACTCTACTCAGAACTCTACTAAACTTGTCCAAATTAAGCTGCTCTCTTTCCCTCCATCTGGCTAACTCCGCCCCTCTTTTCCAAACCAATCCTGGCTGTTGCTGGGCTGGCTCAGGCCTAGGCCACTCCCCCTCTCTGAGCTGGAGTTTCCCTAAACTAAGATGGCTCCAGCAGCTCTCTGCCAGGCCTTCTAAGCTGAAACTACCTAGCCTGTCTCTTCCTGGGCCCTGCCACCCTGGCTGGCAAGGTAAGGGATCTTTACAGCAGGCATCAAATTGTGCCTTGCTTTTGTAAGCCGCCCTGAGTCCCCTTCGGGGTGAGAACCCCAAATAAATAATAAAAAATAGGTCATCATTAAACAACTTTTGATGTGAATATAAATGATTTTAATGTTTGTATATATTTATGGTTTTAATAATAATAATAATAATAATAATAATAATAATAATAATAATAATAATCTTTATTTATGCCCCGTCACCATCTCCCCGATGGGGACTCAGGGTGGCTTACATGAGGCCAAGCCCAAACAACAAGTTACAGCAGAATAAAACTGAAAACGCAAACCGAAAACACAGACAATAAACAACAACATCGTAATTACATAAAACATGTGAATACATAACGATATAAAATTGCAATAAACACAATCACAATGACAATGGGCGGGCTACATATAATGATTAAAAGAAAAACTGTCATGTTATTCCTGTCTGTCCATTGCCATTCCTTTGGCTCTCCCTCCAGCCCATCGATTGGGACGCCTGCGCTGCCAGCCTGGAGGTGGACCGGTCAGTGGCGGAGGTGGTGTGGGCCAAGCCGGGCAGCGCGGCCGGTCTGTTGGTGCTGGAAGAGTTCATCCAAGAGCGTCTGAAGTTCTTCAGCAGTGAGAGAAACAACCCCAACCGGGCGGCACTCAGCAACCTCTCGCCCTGGTTCCACTTTGGTGAGTTCCCCATAAGAAGCAAAAGCATATTGGAGACTGATACCAACATATGATACAAGAGATCTTTAAAATCAGAATAGATCTAGATCGGGCATATACAAACTTTGTCCCTCCAGGTGTTTTGGGCTTCGACTCCCACGATGTCTAACAGACTCAGTACCTGTTGTGGTTGTTGTTGTTATTGTTGTTTATTGAATAAAAGCAAGCAATATTTTAAAAGGGTGGAAAAAGCAAGCAAAGATTAAGTAAGAAAGTCCACCTTGTCTCCAGTGCTATTCTGATAATATGTTATAATATAATATATAATATATTGTGTATACATATAATATTTATAATATTGTAATGTAATGCAATATAATACTACTAATAATAATATGATATTATAATTATATATTTATATTACATGTAATATTACTAATAATATTACAGTATAATTGATATAGTGCAATATAGCAATATTTAAAACTGATATTGTACTATGTTAATAATATATTGTATGTATATATACCTTGTAAGCCGCTCTGAGTCCCCTTTGGGGTGAGAAGGGCGGCATATAAATGTCGTAAATAAATAAATAAAAACAATCCAAACTGACAGATAGGCAGATGTAATCCATAAAAGAGCACAGAGATGATCCTTGATTCCACAGCAAAATCCACGAATGCATAGTCCTTAAAACCCACAGAGGAAAATGTCCAAAGTCTCTTGAAAAACCAGGGAACAGGGTTGCCATATCCAAAATCCACAGAAGAATTCCACAGGGAAACTTTCACCAAAAGCAACTTGAACATGAGTCTTGAGCAGAGAGTTCTATGAATCTTGACATGGCATGCATACAAGACTTGACTGGTAACCGACGTTGCGCTCATTGAAGGCAATGTTGTGAAAGCCCTATATTTATTCAAAAAGACCTACACAAAATGCATTCCTATTCCCTTGAGAACTCTCCTTCAAATTCCTCTTTTCCCTTATCCTGACAGACCTTCGGACTCCCCCTTGCAAGTGGCAATCTTGATAGATTTGACCCCTTCTATCAAAGGTGGGCCAAAACTAACAAAATGAAGTTCAACAGGGACAAATGCAAGATACTCCACTTAGGCAGAAAAAACGAAATGCAAAGATACAGAATGGGGGACAATGCCTGGCTCGAGAGCAGTATGTGTGAAAAAGATCTTGGAGTCCTCGTGGACAACAAGTTAAACATGAGCCAACAATGTGATGTGGCGGCAAAAAAAGCCAATGGGATTTTGGCATGCATCAATAGGAGCATAGTGTCTAGATCTAGGGAAGTCATGCTCCCCATGCTCTATTCCGCTTTGGTTAGACCACACCTGGAATATTGTGTCCAATTCTGGCCACCACAGTTCAAGAGAGATATTGACAAGCTGGAATGTGTCCAGAGGAGGGCGACTAAAATGATCAAGGGTCTGGAGAACAAGCCCTATGAGGAGCGGCTTAAGGAGCTGGGCATGTTTAGCCTGAAGAAGAGAAGGCTGAGAGGAGATATGATAGCCATGTATAAATGTGAGAGGAAACCACAGGGAGGAGGGAGCAAGCTTGTGTTCTCCTTCCTTGGAGACTAGAACGCAATGGAACAATGGCTTCAAACTACAAGAGAGGAGATTCCACCTGAATATTAGGAAAAATTTCCTGACTTTGAGAGCCGTTCAGCAGTGGAACTCTCTGCCCCGGAGTGTGGTGGAGGCTCCCTCTTTGGAAGCTTTTTTTTTTAAAAAAAAATTATTGATTTTATTTTGCATACACTTTGCATACGGCCATCTTTGAATTGTCGTACCCACTTACGCACTTTGCTTTCATTCATAACAGTATCACCGTACACTTCACAAATCTGTCGATGAATTTCTGCAGCAGGCAGGTTCCTTGCTGACAAAAACCGTATCACTGAGCGAACCTCACATGCGGAGGGTGAGTTGATAGTCTTAAACATTTTTAAAGCACAGAACAGAACCGTACAGGTTAGCTACAGAGCAGAAACTGAGCACAGTTGTTCCCGAGGCATGCCGGTACACGACGCACGCGCTTTGCGGTATGCGCGCGAACTACTAGTGTCTACAACAAAACGGACCTTACTTAAAAAATACCCCTCGTATAACCACCTGCTGACTTGTCATCAGTAAGGGACAAATGAATGACGCAACCCCTTGTCATAAAGCTTACATGATTATGGCTCGGCCTTTTCTGCATGTCCCTTCATCATTACTCTCTGTCATTCCCCAGGCATGATCACATGTCCATCAGAACTGTATTTTCACATTGATTCAATGCTGGGGCAACAATTTGACAACAGTCTGGGTTTGTTTGTGGAATTGTTCGATCCTTATATCCTTCAGAGAACACGGGGGACATTCAGGTTTTTTAAAAATGATTATTTACAATATAGCCAAGAGAGGGGCCCATATGTTTTGCAATCTGGTGTACTTGGTGGGCCACCTCGCAAGGCAATGGCCTCTCTTCTCCACCTTCTCAGGCCAGGTCTCTGTCCAGAGGGCCATCCTGGAGGTGCGCAAACACCGCGCTCGGTGCAATGAGTCCGTGGAAGCCTTCATCGAGGAGGCCCTGGTCCGAAGGGAGCTGGCAGACAACTTCTGCTTCTACAATCCAAACTACGACAAGGTTGAAGGTCAGTGTGGGAGCTCAGCCTGTGATTGTGTTTCAGGATCAGGGTGTCAATGAGGTTCAAGATGAGTTTCAAGACGGCAATGGTTTGGTCAGTGATATTGATGCAGAAAATGACCAGGAGTTCCCTGTAGTTTCCCAGGAGAATGTCCCTGAGGGGTGTGGGGATGATGGTGTGCTTTCTGTATTGTTACCAGAGAGTTCTCATGAGAGAGATCAGAAAGATAGCTCATCACCTGCAGAAACTATTGAGCAAGTAGATAACGAGCCAAGAGATAGGCAATTAGAGATTAGTCAAAACAGGAAGGCTGAAGAGTGGCTTCGCCGATCTGCCCAGCTTCGACAGAAAACAATAATAAAGCCTCAATTCAAGAGAAATCCGTTTCTGACCGCTAGTGACCTAGCTAACGAGGCAATAAGTCTCAAGTGTGGGATGTGTAGTCAGCTGAAGCATCGTTTAGAATCACGCTTAGTTCTTGTCCTTGTTTCATGGAAGCTCTGCTTTGAGGATTCATGTTAAAATATTTCTTGTTTCATAGTTTTTGATTCCTGGATTTATTGATTGCGCATCCAAGCCTTGGATCAATGTATTCCTGTTTTTCTGGATTGTATTGGAGAAGTATTAGAGAAATGAGCCCCTGAGGCTTCCCCACGTGCCCAATTCCTTAACGAGAAAAATAATGGAAAATTTGTTACTTTTGTTATATTGGGAGAATGGGATGGGGTGAGATGGCCCTGAGGGTCTCCTCCAAATCAGTGATCCCATCTAAAAACAGCCTTGTTCCTTTCGCAGGGGCTTACGAGTGGGCCAAGACCACCTTGAAGCTTCATGCCACAGACAAGCGGCCTCACCAGTATTCGCTGAAACAGTTGGAGGAAGGGAAGACACACGACTCGCTCTGGAACGCTGCTCAGGTAGCCTTACAAATCCAAGGAGGAATTATGGGATGTGTAGTGCTTCCCAAGCTTCCTGAACATGATGCCTTGGACTACGGCACCTATTGTGTTGGACTACGGCACCTATTGCTCCTTGCTAACATGGCTAGTCTAATAGCAAGCAGGGCAGTGTTCTCGAAGGCTTTCACGGCCATAATCATTGGGTTTCTGTGGGTTTTCCGGGCTGTATGGTCATGCTCCAGAAGCATTCTCTCATGACGTTTAGCCCACATCTATGGCAGGCATCCTCAGAGGTTGGGAGGTCTATTGGAAACGAAGCAAGTGGGGTTTATATATCTGTAGAATAATGTCCAGGGCGGGAGAAAGAACTCTTTTCTGTTGGAGGCAAGTATGAATGTTGCAATTAGCAAGCTTGAATTAGCATTTGAATAGCTATGGAATTTGCAAGTCAATCGGTGATGATATCATTATAATGTTATAATGTAATGCAATATGATACTAATAATAATAATAATACAATATTATAATTATATATTTTATATTACATGTAACATTACTAATAATATTACAATATAATGGTATAGTACAATATAGTAAAATATAGTATAGACATATACCTTATAAACCGCTCTGAGTCCCCTTCGGGGTGAGAAGGCCAGCATATAAAGGTCGTAAATAAATAAATAAATAAATATCTGCATAGAGGTAGCCTGGCTGTTGTTGCCTGGAGGCATCCTCTGTTTGAGAGGCGTTAACTGGCACTTGTTTGTTTGCTGTCTGGAGTTCTCCGGGATCCTCAAACCACTGCAATAGTCTGCTGGATACCATGCACCCACCAAATGCAGCATTGCCCAGACACGAATCAAGGAACATGGAAGACACTGCCGACTAATTCAACCAGAGAAGTCGGCCATAGCAGAGCACCTGATGAACCATCCTTGATTAGCATTTAATGGCCTTGCAACTTCAAAGACTGACTGGTTGCTGCCTGGGGGGATGCTTTGTTGGAAAGTGTTAGCTGGCCCTGGTTGTTTCTTGTCTGGAATTCCCCTGTTTTCTGAATGTTGGTCTTTATTTACTGTCCTGAAAGAACCCTTGTCTCTTTGAAGCAAGTGTGAATGTGGTAATGAGCAAGCTTGAATAGCATTGAGTAACCTTGCATTGAGTATCCTTGGAGTTGCAAAGTCAATAAGTGAGGGTATGTGTTAGTTGTTGCCTGGAGGCATTCCTTTTTTGGGAGGTGTTAACTGGCACTTGATTGTTAGCTGTCTGGAATTGCTCCCAAACAAAGAAGAGAAGCATTGCAGTTGCAAAGTCAATCAGTGAGGGTATTTGTTAGCTGTTGTGGCCTGGAGGCATTCTTTTTCCCCCCCCCCCCCCCCCCGGATGTGTTAACTGACACACGATTGTTAGCTGTGTGAATTCCTCCCAAACAAAGAATGCCTCCAGGCAACAACAGCTTTCAAATACCCTCACTGATTGACTTTCTAATTGCAACATGCACATTTGCTTTAGATAGACAAGGGTTCTTCCTCCCACCCTGGACACTACTCCACAATTATATATACATACACACACACACACTCCACTTGCTTCATTACTTCTATGCAGAGCCCCTCACTGATTGACTTTGCAGCTTCATGGCTTTTTAATCAGTGAGGGTATATTTTAGCTGTTGTGGCCTGGAAGCATTCTTTTTTCCCCCCCGGATGTGTTAACTGACACACGATTGTTAGCTGTGTGAATTCCTCCCAAACAAAGAATGCCTCCAGGCAACAACAGCTTTCAAATACCCTCACTGATTGACTTTCTAATTGCAACATGCACATTTGCTTTAGATAGACAAGGGTTCTTCCTCCCACCCTGGACACTACTCCACAGTTATATATACATACACACACACTCCACTTGCTTCATTACTTCTATGCAGAGACCCTCACTGATTGACTTTGCAGCTTCATGGCTTTTTAATTTAATGCTTTTTAATATGCAGATTTATTTATTTATTTATTTCATGTATTTCTACCCCGCCCTTCTCTCCCTGAAAGGAGACTCAGGGCGGCCTCCCAAGCATATAAACAATCAAAAAAATTACCATCTCTGACTGACTTTGCAGCTTCATGGTTACTCAATGCTAATCAAGCTTGCTATTTGCAATATTCGCACCTGCTGTAAACAGACCAGGGTTCTTTCTCTCACCCTGGTCATTCCACAGGGAGATATATACACTCCACTTGTTTCACTGCCAACAGAACCTCTGAAGGTGCCATTAGCCACAGGTGTGGGCGAAATGTCAGGAGAGAATGCTACTGGAACGTGGCCATACTGCTAAAAAAAACTCAATTCTCTTTCTTCCTTTTCTCTCAGCTCCAGATGGTTCACGAAGGGAAGATGCACGGCTTCCTGCGGATGTATTGGGCCAAGAAAATCCTGGAATGGACCAGTTCCCCCGAAGAGGCCTTGAAATTCAGCATCTATCTCAACGACCGCTACGAACTGGACGGCCGGGACCCCAACGGTTATGTGGGTGAGTAGTAATTAGGGGGTGGCAAGACACAAGACCCAGCAAGGGAGAATGCTCCAAGCGTAGCACTACAGGGCAGGAGAGGCGGGTTCAAATCCCTCCTTCGCCATAGAAACAAGCCCACTGTCCTTGCAGACAGCCAATTCTCTCACACCAGAAGCGACTTGCAGTTTCTCATGTCGCTCCTGACACAACAACAACAACAAAAAAATCCACTTGCTTCACTGCCAACAGAACCTCTGAAGATGCCATTAGCCAAAGATGCAGGCAAAATGTCACGAGAGAATGCTGCTGGAACATGGCCATATAGCCTAAAAAATCTCACAGCAACTCAAAGTGTAACTAAACATTTGTCAAAGAATATAATAAGACTAGCTTAAGACTAGCCATCCCCTGCCACGCGTTGCTGTGGCCCAGTCTGTATATATGTGTTTTGTATGTGTATATATTTGTGTATCTGTGTATATATGTGTGTTTGCATATATATATATATATACACACACACACACACACACACACACACACACATATACATACACACACACATACACACACACATATATATATGGGTATATATATGTGTGTGCACATATGTGTGTGTGTAGATGTGTTTATATGTGTGTATATGTATATTGTGTGTGCTTGTTTATATGCGTATCTGTGTTTATATATGTGTGCATGTGTATATTTGTGTGTGCACGTGTATATGTATATATGTGTGTATTTAGATGTATGTGTGTGTATATTTGTGTGTGCTTGGGTATGTATATACATATGTGTATGTATGTGTGCGTGTGTATATGAGTGTATGTGCATGTATGTACGTAAAAAGGTAAAGGTTGTCCCCTGACATTAAGTCCAGTCATGTCTGACTCTGGGGTGTGGTGCTCATCTCCATTTCTAAGCCGAAGAGCCAGCGTTGTCCGTAGACATCTCCAAGGTCATGTGGCCGGCATGACTGCATGGAGCGCCGTTACCTTCCCGTGCATGTGTATATATATGTGGTGGGTTTTTCCCCTTTTTTGTATTTTTAGGGGTGATGAACACTTGTTGGACTGTTAGGTGTATTGTGTCAAAATTTTATGTCAATTCGTCCAGTGGTTTCTGAATTATGCTAATCCCACAAACGAACATTACATTTTTATTTATATACTAGCTGTACCCGCCGTGCGTTGCTGTGGCCAGCCTTCCCTCCCTCGTTCTCTCCTTTCCCTTCTTCCTTCACTCCCTCTTTCCTTCCTTTCCTTTTTTCTTTCCTTCTCTCCTTCCTTCCTTCTCTACCTCTTTCTTTCCTTCTCCTTTTTCTTTTCCTTCCCTCTTTCTCTCCATTTTTCCTTCTCTAGTTTTCTTTCCTTCCTTCGCTTTTTGCTTCCACCCTTCTGTCTTTCCTTTTTTCCTTCTCTCTCTTTCTCTCTATTCTTCCTTCTCTTTCTTTCCTTCCTTCGCTTTTTGCTTCCACCCTTCTGTCTTTCCTTCTTTCCTTCTCACTCTCTTTCTCTCAATTCTTCCTTCTACCTTTCCTTCCTTCGCCTTTTGCTTCCACCCTTCCGTCTTTCCTTCCCTCTGTCTTTCTCTCCTTTCTTCTTTCTCTACCTCTTTTCTTCCTTCCTTCGCTTTTTGTTTCCATCATTCCTTCTCTCTTTCCTTCTCTCCTTCCTTCCCTCCTTCCTTTTCTCCTTCTTTCCCTCCTTCCTTCACTCCCTCTTTCCTTCCTTTTTTTTCTTTCCTTCTCTCCTTCCTTCATTCTCTACCTCTTTCTTCCCTTCCCCTTTTCTTTTCCTTCCTTTCTTTCCTTTCTTCCTTCTCTACCTCTTTCCTTCCTTCTCTTTGCTTCCATGCTTCCTTCTCTCTTTCCTTCTTTCTTTTCCTCCCTCTTTCTCTCCTTCCTTCCTTCCTTTATTTCTTTCTCCCCTTCCTTCCCTCTCTCTTCCATTTTTCTGTATCGTCATTTAACTTATTTTCTGAGTTTTTAAACTCCTTTCTACTGTTTGGGGGGGGGTTATGAGTGATGGTCACTCATTGGTCTGTTAGGGGTGTAGTGTCCAAATTGCATGTCAATTCCTCCAGTGGTTTTGAGTTCTGTTAACCCCACAAACGAACATTACATTTTTATTTATATAGATTGCACAAGCAGTCCATGCTTCGGGTTGTTGTAGGGTTTTTTTCGGGCTATATGGCCATGTTCTAGAGGCATTCTCTCCTGACGTTTCGCCTGCATCTATGGCAAGCATCCTCAGAGATAGTGGTTGATTATGAGTGATGGTCACTTGTTGGTCTGTTAGGGGTGTAGTGTCCAAATTGCATGTCAGTTCCTCCAGCGGTTTTGAGTTCTGTTAACCCCACAAATGAACATTACATTTTTATTTATATAGATTGTACAAGCAGACCATGCTTCGGGTTGTTGTAGGTTTTTTTGGGCTATATGGCCATGTTTTGGAGGCATTCTCTCCTGACGTTTCGCCTGCATCTATGGCAAGCATCCTCAGAGGTAGTGAGGTCTGTTGGAACTAGGAAAGTGGGTTTATATATCTGTGGAAAGACCAGGGTGGGACAAAGGACTCTTGTCTGCTGGAACTAGGTGTGAATGTTTCAACTGACCACCTTGATTAGCATTTGATGGCCTGGCAGTGCCTGGAGCAAACTTTTCTTGAGAGGTAATTAGATGTCCCTGCCTGAGAGGAACAGAGAGGAAGCAGGCAGGGACATCTAATTACCTCTCAACAAAAGTTTGCTCCAGGCACAGTCAGCCCATTGTATGCTAATCAAGGTGGTCAGTTGAAACATTCACACCTAGTTCCAGCAGACAAGAGTCCTTTGTCTCACCCTGGGCATTCCACGGGTATATAAACCCATTTTCCTAGTTCCAACAGACCTCACTATCTCTGAGGATGCTTGCCCTAGATGCAGGCGAAACGTCAGGAGAGAATGCCTCTAGACCGTGGCCATACAGCCCGAAAAAACCTACAACAACCCAAACATCACATTTTTATTTATATAGATTGCAAGCAGTCCATGCTTTTTCTCAGTGGCAACGTACATATGCATAGACTTGCACAATAGGAATTGTATGCCTGAGCTCAGGGCTGTGCCAGGCCCATCTCACCCACACATCAGGGACATGTGCAAACGTGCCTGCCTTTTCTAGGCTGCCATAAAGGGAAAAGCAGAGTGCAATCCCTCCTATGTGCCTCTCCCGTCTCTTCCAGGATGCATGTGGTCCATTTGTGGGATCCACGACCAAGGCTGGGCTGAACGTCCCGTGTTCGGCAAGATCCGCTACATGAACTATGACGGCTGCAAGAGGAAATTCGACGTCGGCCAGTTTGAACGCAAATACCACCCTCGCAAATTCGCCAAGTAGCAAAGAACGAACCTGGAAGAAGCACAGTGACGACAGTACGTTCTAGTTCGGACAAGAAGTGAAGACGAACTCAAGATCACGCTGCTTTGGTCGACCTCCTTCCAGATCCATTTGCAGCAGAAAAGAATTCCTTCTATGTTTTTCTCGCTCTGAGATTGCCTTCAAGGGATGGAAGCTGGTTTTTGTTTTTATTTTTTGGGTGTGTGGGGGATTCTTGCAAATAGGATTCCCTCACTTTTTGGAAGTTTAGCTCTGGAGCAGATTTCTTTTGCCTTTCTGAAGCTCCAATACTTGACACCCTTCAAGGTATAAACCACATGTGCAAATCACAGTGACCACGAGGGGAAATTGGGAGTTACTGTTACACAACTGCAGTGCATGGCATTTTTTATGAATTTGTTTGCTTTATTAAAAAAAAGGAGATCGAAAATGCAGTCGTATCGTCTTTTATTTTTCAAGTGTGGTGCTTTAAATCAGTGTTTCTCAATTTTCCTAATGCCGTGACCCCTCAATACACTTCCTCCTGTTGTGGTGACCCCCAACCATAACATTATTTTCGTTGCAACTTCAGAACTAATATTGCTACTGTTATTAATCTGAGATGCAGGAAGTGTTTTCATTCCCTGGACCAGATATGCCTGAATTTGGATACTGGTGGGGTTGGGGGGGGATTGATTTTGTCATTTGGGAGTTGTAGTTGCTGGGATTTATAGTTCACCTACAATCAAAGAGCACTCTGAACTCCACCAACGATGGAATTGAACCAAACTTGGAACACAGAACCCTCATGAGTAACCGAAAATAATGGAAGGGTTTGGTGGGCATTGACGTTGAGTTTGGGAGTTGTAGTTCACCTACATCCAGAGAGCACTATGGACTCAAAGAATGATGGATCTGGACCAAAGGGTTTGGTGGGCACTGACTTTGAGTTTGGGAGTTGTAGTTCACCTACATCCGGAGAGCACGTAGACTCAAACAATGATGGATCTGGATCAAACTTGGCATGAATATTCATTGTGCTCAAATGTGAATACTGGTGGAATTTGGGGAAAATAGACTTGACTTATCAGAATTGTAGTTGCTGGGATTTATAGTTCACCTACAATCAAAGAGAATTTTGAACTCCACCAATGATGGGATTGATCCAAACTTGGAACACAGAACACCAATGAGCAACAGAAGGGTTTGGTGGGCATTGACGTTGAGTTTGGGAGTTGCAGTTCACCTACATCCAGAGTGCACGGTGGACTCAAACAATGATGGATCTGGCCCAAACTTGGCATAAATACTCATGCCCAAATGCGAGCACTGCTGGAGTTTGGGGGAAATAGACTTGACATTTGGGAGTTGTAGTTGCTGGGATTTATTGTTCACCTACAAAGAGCACTCTGAACTCCACCAACGATGGAATTGAACCAAACTTGGCACACAGAACTCCCATGACCAACAGAAATACTGGAAGGGTTTGGTGGGCATTGACCTTGAGTTTGGAGTTGTAGTTCACCTACATCCAGAGAGCACTGTGGACTCAAACAATGATGGATCTGGACCAAACTTGACACAAATCCTCAATATGCCCAAATGTGAACACTGGTGGAGTTTGGAAAATACTTGACATTTGGAGTTGTAGTTGCTGGGATTTATAGTTCACCTACAATTAAAGAGCACTCTGAACTCCACCAACGATGGAATTGAAGCAAACTTGGCACACAGAACCCTCATGAGCAACCGAAAATACTGGAAGGGTTTGGTGGGCATTGACGTTGAGTTTGGGAATTGCAGTTCACCTACATCCAGAGAGCACGTAGACTCAAACTATGATGGATCTGGACTAAACTTGACACAAATACTCAATATGCCCAAATGTGAACACCGGTGGAGTTTGGGGGAAATAGACTTTGACATTTAGGAGTTGTAGTTGCTGGTATTTAGTTCACCTACAATCAAAGAGCATTCTGAACCCCCACCAATGATAATTGGGCGAAACTTTCCACACAAAAATCCCACGACCAACAGAAAATACTGGAAGGTTTAGTGGGCATTGATCTTGGGTTTTGGAGTGTTGGTTCACCTGCATCCAGAGAGCAGGAGGAGGGTTTTTGGGAGGAGGATTTGCCGCCTGTTTCCAAAAAGGAAGAGAGGAGGAGAGATCTTCAGCTTTCTCCGTCAAATGGGTTCCTAAGACCATCCAGAGAGCACTGTGGACTCAAAACAATAATAGATCAGGACCAAATGTGAACACTGGTGGAATTTGGGGAAAATACACCTTGATATTTGGGAGTTGTTGCTGCTGGGATTTATAGAGCATTCTGAAGACCATCAGTGGGAGAATTGGGCCAAACTTCCCACACAGAACTCCCATGACCAACCGACAATCCTGATTTTTCTGATGGTCTTTTGCGACCCCTCTGACACCCCCTAATTCTAGATGAAACTAGAATTTGCTGGGAATTGCTACTCTTTTTAAAGAATGGGACCCTAAAAGGGTGAGGGGCCCAAGATCCACATCAGGCACAGATAAACTTGGGCCCTCCAGGTGTTTTGGACTTCAACTCCCATAATTTTGCTAGGAATTGTGGGAGTTGAAGTCCAAAACACCTGGAGGGCCCAAGTTTGCCCGTGCCTAGTTTACACATTGCCCATTTCTACCTTTAAGGTTAAGCTGCTTAATATTGCAGGGACATGCAGTTTTGAACTGAAGGCATTTTGCATCACAGCCAAACATTTTCCATTGCACTGCTTTAGTTCTGTGTAGTAAACATGGATCTGGATGAAGATGAAGACACCTGCAAAGGCCTCACAACAGAAAGCAATGGGCTAGCTGTGCAGATGTGGTGTGCACTGTGTAGTTCTGATGTGTAAATGGCTCTTATTCAGACATAAATGAAGAGTTAAGAAACAGGAATCCTCCGCAGTTCCACAGGATTGTTCTACAAAACATTTCTGGAAGCTTAGATTTGGGCTGAAAATACTGGATTTAATAATCTGATTCCTTCCTCTCTTTCACCACCACAAACTCACTCGTGCCTTCTGAGATATTATTCAATTTTTCAACTAAATATTTTTCTCCTGAGGAAAAAAAATATAATATCACAAAAGACTACCACCTCACCCGCTTCATGGGAAATCTGCTACAAAACAGGAGCTTTTTTGTTGAGTTCCTGGGCCAGAGAAGCAGATGGAGAAAACAGAACAGCCTGCCTCAGGAGAGCGTGCTCACTCCATCAATGTTTAACATTTACACATATGATCAGAAGGGACAGAGTGTTTCCATCTATGCTGACAATCGTGCCATCACCGCTCAAGCAAGGAGTTTTGAAATGGTGGAACAGAAGCTCTCCAAAGCTTTTGTTGGTTGTTGTTGTTCATTCGTTCAGTCGTTTCTGACTCTTCGTGACCTCATGGACCAGCCCAAGCCAGAGCTCCCTGTCAGCTGTCACCACCCCCAGCTCCTTCAAGGTCAATCCAGTCACTTCAAGGATACCATCCATCCATCTTGCCCTTGGTCAGCCCCTCTTCCTTTTTCCTTCCATTTTCCCCAGCATAACTGTCTTCTCCAAGCTTTCCTGTCTTCTGAAGCAGCAAAAGAACAATATGTTTATTAATATAGTTTATTATGGACGGTACTTTCATGGTTATGCTGTGCAATGGAACAGCAGATAGGTAATCCTTTTCAACAGTACTTTGGCAGTTTTATTTTAGAAAGAGCTTCTCCATTCCATTTACAACGTCACAGGTGGCATCACTCTGCAAAACCATGGCAAATATAACGAATGGCAGCTTCATCAGTGATATGGGAAGTCTAGCTTCCCCACCTCCTCTGCTGCACATTGGGCTTTTTGGCCATTCCAGAAAGGATTCTGAATGGCGTAACACAAAACACTGTTCTGAAACTGAAATAATTGCTTATTAAAGTCCACCCACCCCATGGACCACTGTTAAACAGAAGGCTTTGCCAGCAAACAAGAAATAGCCCCGAGTGCTGAAAGTGCTCACAAACAAAACAAAACAATTGGGAAAACACAAGCTTTTTTTTTTGAGAAATTCTATCTCAGAAGCCACATTCTGGAGGGAACCAGGTTAAAGAAGGCCTGCTTTGCAGATCGGAGTGTGTCAATTCTCAAGCAAGGAGATGCCAAGGGCCAAAACTCATGTGATGCTAACCACATCTTTAAACAAATGCCCTCAAACCCAAACAGTGTCCCAAAAATCCAGGAGGAACCAGGCTGTGGGAGGATGGATCAGTTGCTTCTATTTTGGGAAAGAAAGCTGCTTCGGGATGCTGGAAATGGAGACTTAAAGCTGTTTTCACCTCCTAAGATGTAAACCACCACACTGAACATGTGTAAACACATGATCAGCATCAGGTATAGTTTGGGCCTGAAATAAATACGAAGGAAACATCTCGAGAATGGAATGGGTGCTAAGGAGACAGAACAATGCAACAGAAGGCTCATGAGTTCCTTTTTTTTGTAGGATATGGGTGCAAGGGAAGGAGAATGGGCTTTGTTTTTCAAAGACATCAAAGTCAAAGCTCTCTCTCGGGAATTAGGAAGGACTTGGGCCACAGGGATCAAAAACTCCACAATGCCATAGAGCTTTCACTGGAAGACACATCAGGCAACATGTTTTGTTCCTTCTGCAGAATGAGAAGAGACTTTTGGAGGAATCGCCAAGGTATACGAAGGGCAGCTTATGAGGTGAATGGTCCCCTTTGTTCTCTCTCCATTTACCCTGTATTGTGTAGGTTGAGTTAGATAGTCCAGCTCCAAAACACTAGAGCCACCTCTCAAGCTTAAGCTGTGTCTCTTGCTTTCTCCATCATCAATCTTTCCAAAAAGAGTCCACAAAGTCCTTGCTTGTATTGGTCCACCATTCTGTCTTAGGGCCTACTTCAGTGGTTCTCAACCTGGGGTCCCCAGATGTTTTTGGCCTTCAACTCCCAGAAATTCTAACAGCTGTTAAACTGGCTGGGATTTCTGGGAGTTGTAGGCCAAAAACATCTGAGGACTCCGGGTTGAGAACCACTGGCCTACTTCCTCCTTGCTCACAAACAGCTTACAACACAAAACCACTACAAAGCCTGAGCCTCCAAAACCAATCATTTCAGCATTTTCCTTCCAAACTCAGAAGCGAGTCTGAGTGCCTTGGCAAAACCTTTAAACAGACTAAATATTTGATAATTCACTCCCCTTAAAGATACAAATCCTGAGCCAGTGGGCAGTGGAAGACAATCCTTGAAGTGACTGCAAACCACAAGGTACCACCAGCTTCTTCCACTTCCATGTTGACAAAGCAGCAAGAAAGGGCAGCTTTCTGGCACAATGCAAACTCACGAAGGTAAAACACCACAAAAAACATAAAGTAGGGAAAAGATCCCTTTAGAATGGTTTTATCAACACAAATCCTAAGAGCTTGTCTTTGTGACTTTTGCATAAGTAAATGCCTGCCAAGAGCATCTCGCCTTCCAACTGGATTTCAGTCTGTTTTCCCAATATGATTTTTGAAAGAATGGTGCAAAAATAATAAATGGGATCTTACAAGAAATCAGGAGATTCTGCTGACAACCATTTGAGCCAACTGTGTCAGAATTTCCACCTTTTCAAATCACACTGTCAGGACATACATGGCACTCAATGCCCACCTTCAGACTACACACTGACCCTCACGCACATCCACAAACCCTTTCTTAAAGACATACTATGGGACGGTTCTAAGTGCTCTTGAAAGCCTGCCTGCATTGCAAGTGCTACATGCCTAGTTTCCAGACATGAAGGAGAATGAGCTTCATGCTAAGATGTACATGGGAATGGAAATTTGCTCCATATATTAGTGTGGTTTATCACCCCAAGTGCCTATTTTCTTCTCACACTACAGCTTAAAGGCACACAGCCCATTTCTAGGCATTTGGCAAAAAGGTGTTTTGTTAATGCACACAAAAACACTATATGCATTCCCAAACAGCTTGGAGAATGTTATTCTTCCATATGCCAACAACATGGATCAGTATCAGATGAGAATACATCAGGAGATGAATGGCTGCTCCATTGCAGGAGGAGGAAGAGCAAGTACTGCACTGACTATTTCAATGGCTTGAAGTAGAATAATTGTGGAACTATGGCAAAGGATGCCAGGATGGTGTGTTAAGAGAGAGAAAGTGGGAGGGAAACCATATAATGGACTCGTCCATAGGAAATCCAAGTTGCATCAAGTGCGCACAGAAAGCTGAAACCAATGCGGACGATGACTACCACATTCCTTGAGAACCCCCAGCATCCTCTCAGCTCTCTTCCTATCAAACTCTTCAAAGAATGACAAAATGAGGGTTGCTGAGAGTTTTCCGGGCTGTATGGCCATGTTCCAGAAGCATTCTCTCCTGACATTTCGGCCACATCTATGGCAGGAAACCTCTGAGGATGCCTACCGTAGATGTGGGCAAAACTTCAGGAGAGAATGCTTCTGGAACATGGCCATCCAGCCCAGAAAACTCACAACAACCCAGTGATTCCGACCATGAAAGCCTTCGATAACACAATGACAAGATGAACTACAATTCCTCAATACCAACAACCCCAAGATGGGCTACTAAGAAACTGCCACTTCCTGTACTTTTGAGCAACCAACATGAAATGGAGAAAAGGGAATGTTTCCATACAATAAGTGGAATATCTACCCATTTCAACCCGGCCCCTCATCAATTCCTCTGCAGGAAATAGATGCATCGAAATAAGATCATGAATAGCCAATTTCTTCCTGATCTACAGAAGAACCCTGAGCAGCATCCTCCTGACATGATGAACTACCACTTCCATTATCGTCAGTCATTCTGGCTAGGAATTATGGAAGCTATATATATAGTTTGCACACTTGGAGGGCACCTGGTTGGAGGAAGGTGGCTGTAATGACTGCTAAATACCGTATTTTCCGGCATACAAGGCGACTGGGGGTATAAGATGACCCCCCAACTTTTCAACACAAAATTCAGAGTTAGGGAAATAGTCGTCATTTAAGACGACTACTCATTCCATGGGGGTGATGGCCGACAGGGCTGTCCCCATAGCCCCTGCTGCTCTACCCACTCTACTTTCAAGGCTCTCCTCCGAAGGCCACTGGGCTCACCTTAGGCCCAAGGAAGCGCCTCCGGAAGACAACTCCCAGCAGCGCTGGGCAGCGGTATGCCTGGGATGTGCTCCCAGAGGCATTCTGGGAGCAGTAGGAGTCAGGAAACTGCTGGGAGTCATGCGGAAGTGCTTCCTTGGGTCTCTGGAAGACGACTCCCAGCAGCGCTGGACAGCGGCGTGCCTTGGATGTGCTCCCAGGGGCATTCTGGGAGCAGTAGGAGTCAGGGAACAACAGCTCCCAGAATGCCTCTGGGAGCACATCCCAGGTATGCCGCCACCCAGCACATCCCAGGTATGCCGCCACATCCCAGGTATGCCGCCACCCAGTGCTGCTGGAAGCCATCCGGAGGTGCTTCCTTGGGCCTCCGGAAGACGACTCCCAGCAGCGCTGGATGGTGGCGTGCCTTGGATATGCTCCCAAAGAAGTCAGGAAACTACTGCTCCCTGACTGGGATGTGCTCCCAGAGGAGTCAGGAAACTACTGCTCCCAGAATGCCTCTGGGGGCACATCCCAGGTACGCTGCCACCCAGTGCTGCTAGGAGTCATCTGGAAGTGCTTCCTTGGGCCTCTGGAAGACGACTCCCAGCAGTGTTGGACGGCGGCGTGCCTTGGATGTGCTCCCAGAGTCATTCTGTGAGTAGTTTCCTGACTCCTATAGCTCCCTGAATGCCCCTGGGAATACATCCAAGGCACGCCGCCTTCCAGTGCTGCTGGGAGTCAGCAACCGAAGGCACTTCCTTGGTCCTAGGCAAGGCCAGTAGCCTTCAGAGGAGGTAAACAGCGAGGGCGGAGGAACAGAGAGCAGTGGGTGCCGCAGGGAAAGCCCAGCAGTCCATCACCCCCAGCCGGTCTCCGTGGCAATGTGGCCTGCCACTCCTCCTCCCCACGGCCTCCCTCCCTCCACCCTCCTCCTCCCTCCCTCCCTCCCTCCCTCCTCAGGCCATGCCACTAAGGGAGATTTATTTTTTCCTTTTACTTATTATTTTAATTTATACCCTGTGTATTAGACGACCCCTGACTTTTCATAAGATTTTCCAGGCTTCAAAAGGCATCTAATATGTTGGAATAGATGGTAGATTAGGACCATGGCGGTTAAGCAGAATGGCCACTAACATAACCATCTGGTTCCCATGAAAAGTAGCGTCTTGGATAGAAAGGGTCAATGCTGGTTTCATTTGCTAAACAGACACATTTGGTGAAGGAAGACAAATGTGGAAGAGTCGAGAGGAAGTGAGGGGAGGGGAAGACAGAGAACGTTATAATACGGATACATGGTCTGCAACCCACCTGGCCTCCCATCCCTGACTTCAGTCCCAGGTAACACCTGATTTCTTCCATTCCTTATTTATCCATTCCACTCTTATAGTCCTTCAGCTTCGGCTTCCCTATCACACCACATAGACTTCAGGCATAAGCAAAGGTCAGTAGGAAAAGAATTGGCAGCGCTTTTGGCAAAATAGAAAAAAACAAAATAAAAGTGACCTGTGAGCAAAATGTTTTGGGTGGGTCATTTTTCCCTTTTAGAGTGTTTTTGGGTACTTCACCAGGAGTACTTCTTTTTCTGTTCTCCTTAAACTTTGCAGCCATGGGCCACTTTTGGCCCTCTGGGTGTTTTGGACTTCCAACTCCCACAATTCCTAACAGCCGGTAGGCTGTTAGAAATTGTGGGAGTTGAAGTCCAAAACACCCAGAGGGCCAAAAGTGGCCCATGCCTGCCTTAAAGCAAAGCTTGGCTTTGTAGTGCATCGAAGTTAGTGGCAAGAAGAGTCCATAAACCTTGCCCTGGATCTCACATGGAAGAGGGATACTAGATCTCCCTGGTCAAGTGCAAAATGTCCCTCCATCGCAACCGGTGTGTTCACCGTGGGAGAGTCCTCTTCAATCCACTGTCAGTTCAGTGTCTGGAAACAAGAGTCCAGCCTTGTCGACTGTCACGTGGCCGCTCCCGCTGCATCCTCTTCCTGACCGTCCTCGTAATCCGAGAGGTCGGCCTCCATGCTCTGTTTGGCCAGCAGCTCTCTCCGCGCTTGGAGTCGTTCACACTTGGGGCAGGGCCCTGACCGGAAGCAGGTCTTGTGGTAACAGGCTCTGCATTCTAAAAAGGAAAGAGGAAGAGCAGAGGGGCCACATTTTTAAAATTATTTAAATATTTATAAATACATTTACATACTGCCTTTGAGCACCTCTTGCATAAGTGCCCTCAAGGTGATTTATGATCGCAGTAATGATCAAGGGTCTGGAGAACAAGCCCTATGAGGAGCGGCTAAAGGAGCTGGGCATGTTTAGCCTGAAGAAGAGAAGGCTGAGAGGAGACATGATAGCCATGTATAAATATGTGAGAGGAAGCCACAGGGAGGAGGGTGCAAGCTTGTTTTCTGCTTCCCTAGAGACTATTATTATTACATTTATATTATTTTATCCAAGTATTATTATTTCTATTACATTTATTATTTTACTCTATTATTATATGTATTATTTTAATCTATTTATTATTATTATTACATTTATTATTTTACTCTATTTTTATTACATTTATTATTTTACTCTTATTATTATTACTTTTATTACATTTATTATTTTACTCTATTTATTACTGTTATTATTAAATTTCCATTATTTTACTCCATTATTATTATTATTATTATTATTATATTTATTACTAAATGTATTATTTTACTCTATTACTATTATTGGAAGGATACGTAAGCACATTTACACTGAAACAGGTTGGAATAATGGTTTAATCAGAATTGGACAGCCTTATCTTACAATTTTATGTAAAGACTAGCCGCCCCCTGCCACGCGTTGCTGTGGCCCAGTCTGTATATATGTGTTTTGTATGTTTACGTTATGTGCATATGTGTGTGTGTTATACACATTATGTGTTATGTGTATATATATTTGTGTATATATGTGTGTTTACGTATATATATGGTTTTGTGCATGTGTTGTAATGTATTTTTTATTTTTTGGCTTTTTAAGTTTCTTCCGCTTTGTTTTTCAGTGTTTTTATGAGTGATGGTCACTTGCTGGCCTGATAGGTGTCTTGTGTCCAAATTTGGTGTCAATTCATCCAGTGATTTTTGAGTTATGTTAATCCCACAAACGAACATTACATTTGGTTGTTGTAGGTTTTTTCGGGCTATATGGCCATGTTCTAAAGGCATTTTCTCCTGACGTTTTGCCTGCATCTATGGCAAGCATCCTCAGAGGTAGTGAGGTCTGTTGGAACTAGGAAAAAGGGTTTATATATCTGTGGAATGACCAGGGTGAGACAAAGGACTCTTGTCTGCTGGAGCTAGGTGCGAATGTTTCCACTGACTACCTTGATTAGCATTTGATTGCCTGGCAGTGCCTGGAGCAATCTTTTGTTGAGAGGTGATTAGATGTCCCTGTCTGTTTCCTCTCTGCTGTTTTGCTGTTCTAATTTTAGAGTTTTTTAAATACTGGTAGCCAGATTTTGTTCATTTTCATGGTTTTCTCCTTTCTGTTGAAATTGTCCACATGCTTGTGGATTTCAATAGCTTCTCTGTGTAGTCTGACATGGTGGTTGTGAGAGTGGTCCAGCATTTCTGTTTATTTAAACAGATTCAAAAACATTTAACCTATTGATGCCTCAATTAATGTATAGTTATTGGTATCTATTTTTATTTTGAAATTGACCAGTCACTGCTGCATTTCCCATGCTCGGCTTATACTCAAATTATCACGTTTTCCCAGTTTTTGCGGAAAAATTAGGTGCCTCGGCGTGTATTCGGGTCGGCTTATACTTGAGTATATACGGTATTTATTTTCTCTCTCTTCCGTCTCTTTCTCTCCCCCAGACAATGCTATAAACTAGTTAAATATTTGAGCTGGAGGACAAAGAGAAATTGCCTACTTTTTCATGTTCTCCTGAACACTGGAGAACACAATGTTGAAGATCAATTCAAGAATAACACAGAGAAAGGTGCTGGGGCTTTACATCCACATTTCATAGTATAATAGTAGTAGTAGTAGTAGTAATAATAATAATCTTTATTTAATACCCCGCCACGATCTCCCCAATGGGGAGCTTACTTGAGGCCAAGCCCAACAGCATATTACAATAAAGTAAAACCAAAACACAATAACAACAGAGTAAAATACACGCAACATATGAGTGCAAAGACGATAAAGCAAAATCATACACAGTAAAATAAAATAACATAACAATGAGTGGTAGTACTTTCTGGAACAAGCCATGACATTTGGTGCAGTATAGTCACATTTTCAGAGCAGGGGTGGCCCAAATGTAACACAGACCCCCTTCCGCAAATTTCAGATTGGGAGTATTATTACTTCCAGATCCAAGGCACCAAACCCTTGGTGAACATGACTATTTGCTCGGCTACCTACCTTCACAAGTTCTGCACTTATTCAGCTCAAAGGGGAAGATGACGTCCTCGTTCTGGCAGAACTCACAGATGAAGCCCTTCGCTTGACACAGCTGGAAGGGGAAGAAAAAATAATAATAAATGGAAAACAGCAACAGCCTCCTTCTCTTTACGATTCTAAACAGAGGCTGGATGTGCACATGTCGGGAAGGCTTTGATTATGTCTGCCCAGCTGGACAGTGCTGGGAATCCCTTACAACTTTGACAAAAAGGACACCTGGAGCTGCAATCCCACCTGCACTTCACTTCTAAAGAGTCTGAGAACACTACATTGGTCCACCAAAAAACAGGGAATGGCAACGACTTCAACTCCCACAATTCAGGCACGGGCAAACTTGGGCCTTCCAGGTATTTTGGACTTCAACTCTCACAATTCCTAACAGCCTACCGGCTGTTTGCCTGTGCCTGGACTATGATATATGATGGTGTGTGTTTGGCCTTCCTTGATGAAAAAGGTACCATACGAGCAAAACTCTTCGAACTAAGCCAACAAGGAAATAATCAATCTCATTTCACATAAGAATATTCTCCTTTGGAATCATGGGAATTGTCGTTTTTGCATATATTTTTTTGGCCTTTTCTGCCAGAGTGCCAGTGACTTCACAAACTACAATTCCCAGAATTCCACAGCATTGAGCCAGGGCTGTTATAGTAATGTCAAACTGCCAGGAGTTCTATGCAGTCATAAAACTCATTACCTTGCGAAAGGGACTCTATTATTTCTGGTTAAGGAACCAGGTATTAAAAAACCCAGTTGTCGTGGTCTCCTACTCAAAACAACAAAACACACTTTTTTTTTTGTTCTTTCCCAAATGAGTAGAAAGGCTTTTTTTTCTCTTTTGTTGCAGCTGTATACAAAATGTTTACAAAATGTACAAATTTTACAGCTTCTACTCACAACAGTAATTCTCCAACACTCTTCAAACCACCATCTGTCCCTCATCAAACTTTTTCAGTATAACTGTAACCTGTATACTACTCTAATTGCATTAACCACCACAGCCTAATTACAGTGGCATAAAAATAATAATAAGAGAAACATGCCCTGGCAGATTATGTGAAAGGCCATCAAGAACCAACACTGAGGGAAGTAAAGATAGAAAACTGCTTCAAGTGCAAAAGATAAAGAGGGAATGCCATAAAAACACAATCCAGAGCAGAAGAGAAAAGTGGCAAAAGAAGGCTCTCCATTGACAGTTCCTGGGAAAAATCGAGAGCCAAACTGATAAAGAAAAAACATGGCTGTGGCTCACAAATGGAACTCTGAAAAAGTAGACAAAGGGGGGCCTGATTCTGTCAACCCAAGAACAGGCCATTCGAACCAATGCCATCCAAGCCAGAACTGAAAAGTGGGCGACAGATCCCAAATGTAGACTCTGCAAGGAAGCAGATGAAACAATAGATCCTCAGCTGCTGCAAGAACATTGTGCAGACAGACTACAAGCAGAGGCACAACACCGTTGCTCAGATGATTCATTGGAACTTGTGCCACAAATACCATTTGCCTGCGACAAAGAACTGGTGGGATCACAAGCCAGAAAAAGTTACAGAGAATGAACACGCCAAATTCCTCTGGGGCTTCCGGATTCAGACAGACAGAGTTTTGGAGCACAATACTCCTGACCTCACAATCATGTTAAAAAACAAAGTATGGATTGTCGATGTTGCAATCCCAGGTGACAGAAGGATTGCAGAGAAACAACTAGAAAAGCTGACATGATATGAGGATTTAAATATTGAAGTGCAAAGACTCTGGCACAAGCCAGTCAAGGTGGTCCCAGTGGTGATCGGCACACTGGGTGCAGTGCCTAAAGACCTTGGCCTGCACTTAAATGCAATCGGCGCTGACAAAATTACCAGTTGCCAGATGCAAAAGCCACCATACTAGGATCTGCACACATTATTTGCCGATACGTCACACAGTCCTAGACACTTGGGAAGTGTCCAACGTGTGATCCAATACAACAACTAGCAGAGTGATCTTGTTTGCTGTGTACTAATCTTGTTGTGTTTCTAACAACAACAAGACAGTCCTAGACATTTGGAAAGTGTTTGACTTGTGATTTTGTGATACGAAATCCAGCATACAGTATATACCTCGTTTGCTGTGACATACTGTGTTTTTGTGTCAGTAAAATAATAATATTAATAATAATACTTTATTTATGACCCACCTTATCTCCACGACAGGACTTAACCCTTTTATAGGTGGTTATACCAGAGGTATTAACTCTGCTGTCGTTTAGAAAATGTCATGTAATATCCAAATCCTGACACAAATTGCATGAATTCTGTAATGTATAGCTACCCTAGGAAAAGCCAAGTCCAGGCACCTCTGCATGCATGCATTTCTTCGTTTCAAACATACATACCTACGTATGTATACACACGCCAAGTGTTTTTAGAACCCACACTTTCTTCACATTTTCAATTTTGCATTCAAAATTCAGCCAGTGGTGAAACGAAGAGCAAACAAATGAGGAGCAGTGAGGAGTGAGATTACCCACCATGCATTTCTCGACGTGCAGGGAACCCGCCCTGAGGAGCTCCGAGAGGCGGGGAAGCAGCTCCCCTTTCTTGGTGGCCCCCAAGTCATTTAAGGAATAGAGGTGAAGGTCTTCTGTCAAGTGGCCTGGCACAGCGTCAAAGGCATCTAGAAGCCTGCACAAAGCGACCAGCATAGATGTCAGAAATATTAAAAATTAACTAGATATTTTTAATTATAAAAATGCGAGTCAAGCACTGAAAGGGTTAAATGGACGCAACGACTCAGAAAAAGCTGCAGTTCACAGCTGCAAGTAGCTGTGCCTGTAGCTTAGTACGCCTCAGTTTTAGTTTGCCTCAGTGGGAGAAAGTTTTCAGTCTGTGAGAAGGCCTCAGTGTGAAGAAGGCCTTAGTCTGTGAGATATTGACAAGCTGGAATGTGTCCAGAGGAGGGTGACTAAAATGATCAAGGGTCTGGAGAACAAGCCCTATGAGGAGCGGCTTAAGGAGCAGGGCATGTTTAGCCTGAAGAGGAGAAGGCCGAGAGGAGATATGATAGCCATGTATAAATACGTGAGAGGAAGCCACAGGGAGGAGGGAGCAAGCTTGTTTTCTGCTTCCCTGGAGACTAGGACGCGAAACAATGGCTTCAAACTACAAGAAAGGAGATTCCATCTGAACATGAGGAAGAACTTCCTGTGAGAGCCGTTCAGAAGTGGAACTCTCCGCCCCGGAGTGTGGTGGAGGCTCCTTCTTTGGAAGCTTTTAAACAGAGGCTGGATGGCCATCTGTCAGGGGTGCTTTGAATGCAATATTCCTGCTTCTTGGCAGGGGGTTGGACTGGATGGCCCATGAGGTCTCTTCCAACTCTTTGTTTCTATGATTCTATGAGAGAAGCCTCTGTGTGAGGTGAGCCTCGGTATGAGAAGGCCTCATGTGTGAAGCTCAGTGTGAAACTCAAACTTTATTTGTGTCATGGAAACCTTGTTCTTGTAAAGAGTGCAACCATAGTATTTTGCTATAAAGAAAAGCCTCCTATGGAAGAGATAACATTGTGTTGTCATGGCGAGAATCACTGGGTTGTTGTAGGTTTTTCGGGCTGTATGGCTATATCCTAGAAGTATTCTTTCCTGACGTTTTGCTTGTATCTATGGCAGGATCCTCAGAGGTAGTGAAGTCAGACCTCGCAACCTCTGAGGATGCCTGCTATAGATGCAGGTAAAACATCTGGGTGAAATGCTCCAGATAACTCACTGCTGCTTCTAACCTGTCCAACATGCCCTGTGCTGATTACCTGCCCCAGTACTAGATCCAAACAATTATGTCAATATTCACACAGTAATTACGTTTTAGCGAGGCGGCAGGTCTTGAACATGTTCTTCATGTGGTACAGTTGGATTCGCAGCAGCTAGAAAAAAACAAGGAAACAAAACGTTCAGGTTGTAATTTTATTTCCACCAATTTATCATTTCAGAAGAAGGGCAGCATGGAGGGCAACAAGTCACACACAAGCTCCGGACGCTCAACAGATCAAACTTGGGCCCTCCAGGTGTTTTGGACTTCAACTCCCACAATGTGGGAGTTGAAGTCCAAAACACCTGGAGGGCCCAAGTTGACCCATTCCTGATCTAAATGGATCACTTCAAAAGCTCAAGGATAAATCTGGAGGTTCAAATGATGTGGTTACAAATTTGCTCCAAATGCATTTGATGTGTCCTTGAGGTAGTTTGGGACCTGGAGGGTCTGGGGCTGCCCTAGTGGGCTACACTTTCCCTGCTTCTTGTTAATGGACACGCCCTGCCTTACCCGGACTTGGTTGAGCGGCTTGACCTTGCGGTAGAGACCAGGGTTAATGTCCTGCACGTTGAAGAGGGGGTCATTCCAGATTTTGGTGAGCAGGTCTTTGGAGAAGTTGCTGACGTAATACTTGCTGAAGTCCCACTTGCGCAGGATGCGGCTGGGGATGACCATCTGGGCGTTCTCGTGGCAGCACTGGCAGAAGTATTTGCCAAGGTACTCGCAGTAGCGCATGCGCTTGATGTAATCTGAGGGCCCCAACAGAAGAGAGGCAGAACAAAAACAGCACATTTAGCCCAAAGAGAGAGTGACGGTGCCAAAGGCAGCTGTTTCAGAACCCAGTTCCATATAGACATATGAAAGGATATATACAGAAAAAATATATATATTCCCAATCCACTAGTTGAACGATGATTAAATAAGTCATTGGACATATACTCAGAAGAACGGAAACCACATCTGAGGGGAAAATTCCATGGAGACATAAAATGTTGAGATGCTCACTTGTAAATGTTAAAACAAACAAGTGAACGATTTGCTGGATATAAAGTGGAAGGAAAAATGTTAAATTTAGAGAGAAAATAAGCTGGAAATCCCCTTTTAAATAACTAAAATCAGGACAGTAAATAAAGAACAACACTTAAAAAATCAGGGGAATTACAGACAAGAATTAATCAGGGCCTGCTAACACCTCCCAACAAAGGATTCAGGAAGCAGTCAGGCTTTAAAGCTGCAAGGTCATTCAATGCTAATCAAGGTGGACTCTTGTCTCAAGCAGACAAAAGTTCTGTCTTCCACCATGGACATTATTCCACAGATATATAAACCTCACTTGCCTAGTTTCTAACAGAACTCATAACCTATGAGGATGCCTGCCATAGATGTGGGCGAAAGTTCAGGAGAGAATGCTTCTGGAAAATGGCCATACAGCCCGGAAAACTCACAACAACCCAATTCATGTATATGTTTGTAGTTTTATGGAGTATAGAAATGCATGTTTGTTAAGCAATTGTTGTCAAATTATGTCTATGTTTATGTACACTTTTTGTGTGCTTTTCCTGTCAAAACTTTAATTAAAAATATTGAAAAAATGATTGAATAAGATTATTAATTTTATTCCACTTTTTTTCTTTAAAACCATGTACCTTACTATAAGAAAGTATGTGTGGAAACACATGCATTTGTTTGGTTTTACCTACACACCACTTTTTTGTCATCAAAAACCAACTGAAAAAGCAACTCGACATAACAATTCCACAGCATATACACAGATGATGTTGCAACTCAGGATAGATTCACCTTGCTCAGAACAACACCACACACCAAGGCTATAGGTTTGGTAGTTTATTGAAGAAAAATCAAAATCAAAAACATAGAAATAAGGTTGCAAAAGTTCAATAGCCAAAACAGAGTCTTAAATGCAAAGGCAGAGCTTCCAAGGTCCAAATGCAAATAACATAAAGTATAATCCACAAGCATGGGTCAAACAAGAATCCATGGCAGCATGACAAAGTCCCCAGAAACCAAGATCAAAACCAAAGTCCCAAAGAGCCAAAAGCTTTCCCCAAAAGCGGAGGCAATTCCAAAGAAGTTAACAGGGTGTAAGCAAAGTTGCACTGACAAAGGGTTGACTGCAATCAGATCGTTAAATAAGCTTTCCTAGCATGAAAGCATTACGTTGACCTTGAACTTCCTGTTTGTTAGCAAGCCGAGCACTTCGGCGTACCCTTAATTGCAAACGGTCCTCCCTAACTAAATCCCCAGAACCTTCAAGGCCAAATAACTCATTATCCTGGGACTGGCCTGCCTAGGAATCGACAGGCACTGAGCTCACAGATGGAGCGGTCGACTCCTCCACCTGCAGCTGTGAAGTTTCCCCGAAATCATGACCATCTTCTAAAACAACATTCCTTTCCCTGGGAAACTGAAATGCCGCCTCGTCTTCAGTATCAATACTGTCTGCCTCAACAACCGGGACATGTTCAGCAATCTGTAGCCCATCATCCTCCTCGTCCTGAGGAAACTCAGGCTCAGAAAGCTCAGGCTCAGACTGAGTCACAACAGATGAACTCAAATGCAGTTTTTGCTTTCCCCAAGAAGCAATGGGCATGCTAGTTTGAATTATTGTGCCATTTGGAGAATATTTGGGTGAGGAAAAAGTCAGCTTAAGGCAATAAACATTCCATCCAAAGGCCTTGAAGCATGAAGCATAACAAGTGTCTCCAGAGCATGCCAGGCCAAGCACTCACCGGGATCTGTCCTGATGCCACAGCCTGCACAACGGTAGTTCTGTTTGGCCACTGCCACCTTCCTCCTATGGTGAGACAAAAAGATGAGTAATAATGAATGAAGAACACACATCTGTGTCTGCCACAGCCACGGCTCTAAGGTAATTAAGCCTAGACCTCACATAAGCCAAGCATGGGCAAACTTTGGCCCTCCTTCCAGGTGTTTTGGACTTCAACTCCCACAAATAGGCCGGTAGGCTGTTAGGAATTGTGGGAGTTGAAGTCCAAAACACCTGGAGGGAGGGCCAAAGTTTGCCCATACCTGTTGTAGACAGTGCTCAACCTTTATTCAAAGAGGAAAAAGTTTTGCTGTAGTTTGCAGAAACCAGCTAGAGCATCAGCAAACATCTAGCACAATGATTCTCAACCTTCCGAATCCCACGGCCCCTTAACACAGTTCCCCATGTTGTGGTGACCCCCAACCATAAAATTATTTTCATTGTTACTTCATAACTGTAATTTTGCTACTGTTATGTAATGTAACTATCTGATATGCAGGATGTATTTTCATTCACTGGACCAAATTTAACACAAATACCCAATATGCCCAAATTTGAATACTGGTGGGGTTGGTGGGGAGGGACTGGTTTTGTCATTTGAGAGTTGTAGTTGCTGGGGTTTAAAGTTCATCTACAATCAAAGAGCATTCTGAACTCCACCAATGATGAAACTGAACCAATCTTGGCACACAGAACTCCCATGACCCACAGAAAATACTGGAAAGGTTTTGTGGGCAGTGTCCTTTGGTTTTGGAGTTGTAGTTCACCTACATCCAGAGAGCACTGTGGACTTATACAATGATGGATCTGGACCAAACTTGGCATGAATACTCAATATGCCCAAATATGAACACTGGCAAAGTTTGGGGAAAATAGACCTTGACCTTTGGGAGTTGCAGTTGCTGGGATTTATAGTTCACCTACAATCAAAGAGCATTCTGAACCCCACCAACAATAGAATTGGACCTAACTTTCCACACAGAACCCAGATGACCAACAGAAAAGACTGTGTTTTCTGATGGTCTTTGGCGACCCCTCTGACACCCTCTCGTGACCCCCTGCTTGAGAAACGATGATCTACCAGAACACAATAAACATTATGGGCTAGCAACAGCCTGTTCCCTTACGTTGGTGCCGAATGGACGTTGAAGATGATCTGCGGCCTTGGCGGGGCCCATTCTAGGTTCCCTCGGACCCGGATGCGGAGCTTGTAGATGTCGGCGTGCTCCCCGTCATCGGGAGAGATGGGCACCGAATCGGGAATTGGCAACAGCTGCAAGAGAACCAGCATTAAGACACACAAAGACATACCAGTATATTCCACAAAACTATTTTTTCTCCATCTCATACCCACAAAAAAAGCGGCAGAAACTTTCTCATATCAGGCTTTGGGAAAAAGTTCTGTACTTCACCATTCTATGCACTATCATCCTTCAGTGGGGATGGAGAACATAGGAGAAAGTGTCTTCCTAACAGAACACCATATTGGAATTCTTGGCTTCCCTGAGTTTGCCCACAAGCTGTAATAGGCGCGAAGCCAATGCAGCATGCACAAGATTAATTAGCCCCAGGAGGATGCTTACAGGACTCCTGCTCCATGCTGCATAAGCTCAGAACAGGGGCAATTAGTCTTCTCAGCAAGGCTGCAACGTGTCCCCCAGAACATCAGCTTTTGGCAAGTCTTTACGTTTCACCAAAATATATAATCAAGGCTTTTCTATTCTCTCTGTGTCTGTGCATGAGCTTCCAAGCCACCTGTCAACTTCCCAGGGCTTCTTTGATAATTCCTATCAGGTATTGTTCTCTGAGAAGTCTCAAAGCTTTTGCCCAGCTTATGTGTTATTTATTATTTATTTATTTGCAACATTTATATGCTGCCTTTCTCACCCCGAAGGGGACTCAGAGCTGCCTACAAGATATATACACACACAATATATTTAATTACTAGCTGTACTCGCCACACTTTGCTGTGGCCAACCTTCCCTCTTTCTCTCCTTCTTTCCCTCCTTTCTTCACTCCCTCTTTCCTACCTTCCCGTCTTTCCTTCTCTTCTTCCTTCCTTCTCTATGTCTTTCCTTCCTTCCCACTTTTTCTTTCTCTTCTTCTCTCTTTTCTTCCTTCTCTCTTTCCTTCCCTCTCTCTTTCTCTACATCTTCCCCCTTTCCTTCGCTCTCACTTTCCTTTCTTCTTTCCCTTTTTCTTTCCTTCTCTCCTTCCTTCCTTCTCTAACTTTCCTTCCTTCCTTCCTCCCTTTTTCTTTCCCCTCTTTCTCTCCTTTCTTCCTTCTCTACTTCTTTCCTTCCTTCTTTCTCCCTTTACTTCTATGCTTCCTTCTCCCTTTCCTTCCTTCTTTCCCTCCCGCTTTCTCTTCTTTCATTCTTTTTTTCTCCCCTTCCCTCCCTCTTTCTTCCCTTTTTCTGTATTATCATTTAGCTTTTTGGGGCTTTTAAAGTCCCTTCTGTTGTGTTTTTCAGTGTTTTTATGAGTGAAGGACATAAATTGGGTTGTTAGGTGTGTCGTGTCCAAATTTGGTGCCAATTCGCCCAGTGGTTTTTGAGTTCTGTTAATCCCACAAACGAACATTACATTTTTATTTATATAGATTAGCATAGTGCAATTATCAGTATTATATATTACTATATTGTACTACACCATTATATTGTAATATTATTAGTAATATTGCATATTGTATAAAATATATAATGTTTTCAAAGACATAGTGTAGTATAAAATATAAAATATATATGTTCTCAAAGACAAGCTCTGCTTTTATTTGATTTTCAAACACACCAAGATTTCTAGAGTACCAAACCTTGCATTTGAAAAACACCCATGTCAGAGGTGTAAATGTGTCAAATATACGTTTCTACAGTGACTTCCCACAGATCAAGGGCCTATCGAATTTGAGCCAAATTTCCTTTGAGCAAACCAAAGCATGCAACCAGGAAGCACACATATCTGCACGACTCTGTAAATTAACTTACTATATTTCCTCAATTCTAAGTTGGATGTAAGGAGTTAGCTTGGAGACTGATCTTTGGGAGAAAAGTACTAGTCCTATTTGGCTGTGGATGCTGCTGCCCCCCCCCCCCCCCCCCAGGTTTGTGAATATTTGGTATTCCGACCTGTCTCCTGAACTTTTGAAACTCTGGAACCTTGAATCTCTGGACTGGCTACTGACTATGGTATTGACTCTTCATCAGTGGTTCTCAACCTGGGGTCCCCAGATGTTTTTGGTCCTACAACTCCCAGCAATCCCAGCCAGTTTACCAGCTGTTAGGATTTCTGGGAGTTGAAGGCCAAAAACATCTGGGGACCCCAGGTTGAGAACCACTGCTCTTCATCCTTGGACTTTAATCATTGAACTCTTGGCGTTTGACTACTGGACTGGTCCTTCTGACTACAGTGTTCTCTCGAAACTGCATCGGTGTTTGTTATCGGTGTTTGTTTTATATTCTGTGGCTGAGTGCTATCTTTATCTATATAAATAAAAATGTAATGTTAGTTTGTTGGATTAACATAACTTTGGTCGTGTCAGGAGCAACCGCTCCTGTTGTGAGAGAATTGGCCGTCTGCAAGGACGTTGCCCAGGGGACGCCTGGATGATTTTTGATGTTTTATCATCCTTGTGGGAGGCTTCTCTTGTGTCCCCGCATGAGGAGCTGGAGCTAATAGAGGGAACTCATCCGCCTCTCCCCGGATTCGAACCTGCGACCTGTCGGTCTTCAGTCCTGCCGGCACAGTGCTTTAACCCACTGCACCACCGGGGGCTCCTTTTAACATAACTGAAAAACCACTGGATTAATTGACACAAAATTTGGACACTACACCCTTAACACACCAATGAGTGACCATCACTCACAAAGCCCCCAAAAAACAGTAGAAAGGACTTAAAAACCCTGACGATACAGAAAAAAGGGAAGGAAGGAGGAGGAAGGGGAGAGAAAGAGAGAGGAGAGAGAAGAGGGAGGGAAAGAAAGAAGGAAGCATGGAAGCAAAGAGAAAAGGAAGGAGGTAGAGAAAGAAAGAAGGAAGGAAGGAAGGAAGGAGAGAGAAGAAAGGAAGCAAAAAGTAAAGGAAGGAAGGAAGGAAAGAGGTAGAGAAAGAAGGAAGGAGAAAGAAGTAGGAAAAGAAAAGGGGGGAGGAAGGAAGGAGGCAGAGAAAGAAGGAAGAAGAGAAAGAATTAGAAAAATAAAAAGTGAAGGAGGAAGGAGAGAAAGAAAGAAAGAAAGAAAGAAAGAAAGAAGGAAAGAAAGAAAGGGAAGGAAGGAAGGAAGGAAAGAGGGAGTGAAGGAAGGTGAGAAAGAAGAGAAAGCGGGAGGGAAGGAAAGAAGGAAAGAGAGAGAAGGAAGGAAGCAAAAAGCAAAGGAAGGAAGGAAAGAGGTAGAGAAGGAAGAAAGGAGAGAAAAAGGAAGAAAAAGAGAAAGGGGAAAAGGAAGGAAAGAAGGAAAGAAGAAAAAGGAAGGAAAGAGGGAGCGAAGGAAGGAGGGAAAGAAGGAGAGAATGAGGTTGGCCACAGCAACATGTGGCAGGTACAGCTAGTGTTTTATATTTGGACTATGAAAACAGTCAGACAGTAAGTGCTGCTTCAATTAGACAGTTTGACACAAGCTGGGTGTTTGTTTTGGTTCACCTCTGCCTGCGTACCGGCAGAGCCCTGGCATTGTGACACAATGGATGATGTCGTAGAATTGAGGAAATATGATAATTTACTCTGAGTCTGCTTGGCTGCACAATCTTTTGAACTCAGGTGTGAAGAGTCCCAATTACAAATCTGACTTTTGCCAAAAGAGTCAGTTTAGCACTCTCAACCAAGCCCTTTTCCTCCTGGCGTTTCAGTTGGGCATTACATACAGGGCTGTTAGCACACAGAGTACACATCAACACACTTTCTTCCCATTTGGGACATACCAGCAGGAGCTTTTTGGAAAGCTGCCTTTTCTTATACCACTTGGGTCGCTTAAAAAGCTTTTTAAGAGACAGACGTAAGCCCTGAAAACCAACAGCAAATGATCTATCAAAGTGGTTTTCTCTGAGCAGCATTTCTAAGCTAACCAGAAAAAAAGATTAAGGTCTTCCTATAGCTGGGAATTTCGAACTAATCAAAGGCTACGGGCTGACTTAATTCAGATTTTATCTAGCCCAAACATGGGCAAACTTCAGCCCTCTAGGTGTTTTGGACTTCAACTCCCACAACAGCCAGTAGAGAGCTGAAGTTCAAAACATGTGGAGGGCCGATGTTTGCCCATGCCTGAGCTAGACAGACTTGTTTACCCACCACATTGCTGTTATCACTCTGGCTTCTAAAACAGTCATGCTTTCTGCTCCACCCTAAGTCTCTTTCTAACTATGGAGTATGATCCTATCCCCTTTTCAACCAATCTATAGAACAACAGACAACTGCATCCCCATGTTTGGCAAACTCTCCTAAATGCCTACTAGAGATGTGTTATCTGAACAAAAGCAGAGAAGGAAAGCAAGTGGCACTGAGGAGCCATTGGCAAGAGGCTTACTTTCTGTGGGGCATCATGCTCCGGCACAAGCCATTCGAGTTCTGAAGCTGCTGGCAGCTGCATCCCTTCAAACTGCTTCAGGAGGCCCATGGCCACGGCTTCAGCTGAGTTCGAGTTGAGGAAGGAATGGAACCTGCTTTGATAAATTGGTAGATATTAGTAATAACACATAGCCGTGGGGTTAATACTTTCCTTCCTTCTTTTTTAATCATTAGGGATGTGATTCTTGACTAAATTACTTCTCAACGGTGACCACAGAGGACAGCTGGCCCTCTGTATCCATGGGTTTCATACCCACAGATTCAACCATCTACACCTCAAAAATATTTGGTAAAAAAAAACCCCTTCAGCGCCATTTGAGTAGTTTTGTTGTTGTTCATTCGTTCAGTCGTTTCCGACTCTTTGTGACCACCTGGACCAGCCCAGGCCAGAGCTCCCTGTCGGTCGTCACCATCCTCAGCTCCTTCGAGGTCTATCCAGTCACTTCAAGGATACCATCCATCCCCTTGCCCTTGGTCGGCCCCTCTTCCTTTTTCCTTCCATTTCCCCCAGCATCACTGTCTTCTCTAAGCTTTCCTTTCTTCTCATAATGTGGCCAAAGTACTTCATCTTGGCCTCTACTATTCTTCCCTCCAATGAGCAGTCGGGCTTTATTTCTTGAAGTAGGGACTGGTTGGATCTTCTCGCAGTCCAAGGCACTCTCAGAACTTTCCTCCAGCACCACAGCTCAAAAGCATCTCTCTTCCTTCGCTCAGCCTTCCCTATGGTCCAGCTCTCACATCCGTAGGTGACTACAGGGAATACCACTGCTTTGACTATGCAGATCTTGGTTGCCAGTGTGATGTCTCTACTCTTCACTATTTTACCAAGATTGGTCATTGCTCTCTTCCCACGAAGTAAGTGTCTCCTAATTTCCTGGCTGCAGTCTGCGTCTGTAGTCATCTTTGCACCTAGAAATTTAGGTTGCTTACCTGTAACCGTATTTCTTCGAGTGTCCATCTGCGAAATTCACACCTATGGGTTTCCTCTCGCGCATGCGCAGAAATCCGGAACATTCTAAGTTTAATGAAATAAAAATGAATATTTTGAAGCTCCGCCCACCCCCACCCCACCCCGCCCCCTCGGTATATATATCCCGCCGCATGCGGGCGCACTCTAGTTCCCCAGCGCTAATCGCAGCTAGGTTCAGAGGCATGACAGAGGGGAGGACGGGCGGGTTGTGTGAATTTCGCAGATGGACACTCGAAGAAATACGGTTACAGGTAAGCAACCTAAATTTATTCTTCGTGTCCTCTGCGAAATCCACACCTATGGGTGAATAGCAAGCTACTGACCTGGAGGCGGGTCATGCCACGCAGGAAAAAAGGACAGCTCTACCAAATGCGGCGTCCTTCTTTGCTTGTATGTCCAACTTGTAGTGAGAGGCAAACGTGGAGGGAGTAGACCACGTAGCTGCTCTGCAAATTTGGTCCAATGGGACTCCTCGAAGGAAGGCTTGGGACGTGGACACTGAGCGTGTCGAGTGCGCCACGATGTGAGAAGGAGGTTCTTTCTTTGCCAATTGGTAAGCTAATTGGATCGTTGAAACAATCCAGGAGGCCAACCCTTGTGAGGATATCGGGTGGCCCAGCATGTCTTTTCTGTATTTCAAAAACAACTTCGGGGACTTCCTATAGGCGGAGGTCCTATGGAGATAAAAGGAAAGTGCCCTCTTAACATCGAGGGAATGTAATGCTACCTCCAACGGGGAGGAAGGGTTGGGGAAAAAAGCTGGTAGGATAATATCTTGTGACATATGGAAATAAGAAACAACTTTGGGTAAAAACGTAACATCGGTTCTAAGGACCACTTTGTCATCATGGAACCTGATATACTGAGCGGAGAGCTGTTAACTCGCTCGACCGTCTAGCAGATGTAATGGCTACTAAAAATGCCATTTTCCAAGACAAGTGGGAAACATCGGCAGAAGCCATCGGTTCAAAGGGAGGTTTTGATAATTGGGATAACACTAGTTCTAGGCTCCACTGAGGCGAAGGGAGGGATGTAGGGGGGTGAACATTTTTGTAGCCTTTGAGGAACAGCTGAATAAGGTGGTCATGAAAAAGGGATGGCAAGCCGAACTTTCTGCGGCCCGAGGAGATCGCTGCTATGTAGCATTTAACCGAAGAAAGGGAGAATTTTTTGTTGGAAAGGTGTACAAGGAAGTCTAGTACCACAGGGATAGGAGCTGAAAGGGGCGTATGGCCCACTGTTCGTGTAAATTTTTCAAAAGATGACCACTTATAATGGTATGACTTCTTAGTGGTCGGTTTATGGGCGGCCAGTATAATTCGTGAAGCTTCCTCAGACAGGTTCATTGTGGTCTGATTCTCCACGCTGTTAGAGAGAGGGAGTGGAGGTCCGGGTGGAGGACCAGGCCGTTCTCTACTGAGAGGAGGTCTGGGGTCGGAGTGAGCCGGAGGAACTCCTTGTTGGAGATTTGAAGAAGAGGAGCAAACCAGTGTTGGCGTGGCCACCAGGGGGTGATCAGGATGCAATCTGTGTTGTCCTGAATTATCTTGGCTATGACTGGGGATAGGAGAGGGAGGGGTGGAAAGAGGTAGAGGAGACCCGGAGACCATAGGAACAGGAATGCGTCTCCTAGACAACCTGGGGATGCGTGAGGGCGGAGCCTTGCGCAGTAGAGAGGGCAGTGCGTGTTTACAGGGGACGCGAACAGGTCTATCCTGGGGGTGCCCCACTTGTGAGTGAGTGCCTTGAATTGTGTGGGATGTAATTGCCACTCGTGATTGTTTTTGGAGGACCTGCTCAAGGAGTCCGCCAGTGTGTTGTCTTGGCCTGGTAGGTGGATGGCTGTGAGGAGGATGTTCCTCTGGATGCACCATTCCCAAATTCGTGTTGATATGGACAGTAGAGTTTGAGAGCGTGTTCCTCCTTGTTTGTTGAGATAATATTTGACTGCGGTATTGTCTGTCACAATCTGGACCTTGCGGTTCGAGACAATGCGGACAAAGGCTCTGAGGGCCTTCTCTACCGCCATCATCTCGAGTGCGTTGATGTGGAATTTGCGGTCCCGAGGGGACCAATGGCCGCTTACTTTGAACCCTTTGAGATGCGCTCCCCAACCCGAGTTGGAGGCGTCTGTCGTGAGGGACATGGATGGGTGAGGTTGGGTGAAAGGCATCCCTGATTGAACATTGCACTGCTTTGTCCACCATGAGAGGGAGTGGAGGACGGAGTGAGGTGGGTATAGGATGCGGGATTGAGGTTCCCGCAGGGGGTCGAATGATTTGATGAACCATCTTTGTAGTGGCCGCATTTTTAGGCGGGCAAATGGGGTTACACTTGTGGTAGACGACATGTGTCCAAGGATAGACTGGATAGCCCAGGCCGAAGTTCTGCGGGAGTGTTGGAGGCTTAGGATTGCTCGTCGAAGATTGATGAAGTGGTCGTCCGGGAGGAAGGCCTTCTGGAGAGAGGAGTCTATGACGGCTCCTATGAACTGGATTCGTTGAGTCGGAGTGAGATGGGATTTTTCTTGGTTTACTACCAGACCCAAGTCCTGTAAGAGAGACAAGGTGTAATGAATGTCGTTGTACAGTTGCGTTTTTGAAGGAGAACAAAATAACCAGTCATCCAGGTACTGAAAAACCACGATGTTTTGCTGGCGGAGGTGTGCCGCTATGACTGACATGCATTTTGTGAATACCCTGGGTGCGGTGGATAAACCAAACGGGAGAGAAGTGAACGAGAAGTGGTTGTTGTGCACTGCAAAGGTTAGGAATCTGCGATGAGATTCTCTAATTGAGATGTGGAAGTAGGTGTCCCGCAGGTCCACCGTCGCTAGCCACGCTCCCGGTGGAATGAAGGGTAGGATGTTAGGAAGTGTAACCATGCGGAACTTGCGTGGTGTGATGAAGGTGTTAAGCCTGCGAAGGTCCAGGATGGGGCGTAGCCCTCCATCTCTCTTGTCTACTAAGAAATATCGAGAAAAGAAGCAGGTGTTAGCATTGTGTGTGGGGTTAGAAGAAATGGTGCCCTTTTGAAGGAGAGAATGTATTTCTTCCCAGATCTCTTGGGAGGGTTGTGTGAGGAGAACCCTCCCAACGGGTGGATAGGTGTCAAATTCTATTGCATAACCCCTTTCAACTATGTCAAGGACCCAGGCATCTGTAGTGATAGATTGCCATGCCGGAAGAAAAGACTGTAGTCTGTTGAGGTATGTAAGTGATAATGTATGTGTGGAAGTGTGGTTGACAGTGGTTAGTGGTGTGCTAAAAACAACGTTTAGAGTTGTTGGAGGGCCTGGAGCCACGGTACTGACCTCTGAAGGGGAGTTGGGGACGTCTCGGGGTCGTAGACTGGGTGTAAGATCTTTGGCGTCCTCTGTAGAAGGAGGTATTATAAGGCCTGTTGTAGTAGTGAGGACGGTAGTAGTATGAGCCCCATCGTTGACGTTGATGAGAGTAAGGTTGTTGGTCATATTTGAAGACCGTCTGTTTCATTTTATGGGAATGTTCAAGTTGTGAATCAGTTTCAGGGTTGAACAGTCCTGCCTCGTCCATAGGAAGGTTTTCAATGAGAGTGCGTTGTGATTGAGAGAGGATAACAGCCCTCAGCCAGGCATGGCGGCGAAGGGCCACGGAGCCTGCAATGAGTTTGCCAGAAGCATCGGCTGTGTTTCTTGCAAGGTCCTTTTGCAATGATGACAGAAGGAGAGCCTCTTGCTTAAAGGCCAGAGCCAGTGGCTGGTCAGCTGGAGGCAGTAATTCTAAATAGGAAGATATTTTGTTCCATAGGAAGGTTTGGTATACACTCATGTAAACCCCATAATGAGCCATGCGTGCAAATAGGCATGCTGAGGAATAAAACTTTTTGGCCATAGAGTTAAGTTTCCTTCCCTCTTTGTCAGAGGGGGAAGTCTGGTTTGATTGGACAGGTTTTGGTTGAGCATCAGTTACTATAGAATTTGCTTTAGGCATTTTAGATAGCCACGAAGCTGAAGATAGATCAATACGGTATAAATTTTCTGCCCTCTTGGGGGTTGCCAGGATCATAGCCGGGGAAACACCAGTATTTTTTAAGATCTTTAGTAGAAAGGGTAAGGTGGGCAACACAGTGGAAGCAGGTTGTTGTTGTTCAGTAGAAGTAAAACATGGATCTACCACAGTATCTGTGGGTTCAGGTGTAGAGAGATTCAGGGATCTGGAGAGCCTTATGAGCAAAGCAGAGAACTTTTTGAATTCTTCCAGATTTTTGGGGGAAGGGTCAGGGTCTGGAAGGGGTTCGTGTATGAGTGGGGTGTCATCAGCGGATTCTAGGTCCACTGTCTCGGCTTCTTGATGAGGTTGAGTGAGGGGGTCTTGAAATGGTTGAGGAGGATCTGATTCAATGTGTTCTTCTGGAGGGTGAGAGAGTGTAGCTGTAGGGGGTGCATGTGGAGGTTGTAGGTATCCAAACTGGTGTGGATAATGGGTGCTGTAGTCCCTAGTGTGGGTGGGGGGGGGGAGGATAGTAGAAAGGGTACATGGGGTAAGGAGGAGGGGGAGGGTATAAATGATAAGGATAGTCTTGTGGAGCATATGGGTGATGTTGTTCAGGAGGGTAAGTTCTAGTCCTCTTGGGGGGGTGGGGGTTAGGAGAGGGTTGAGGGGAAGGGGAGAGAGAGTGCTGGCGGCGTCGCGGAGCCCGCGCCGTGGAAGTTTGTTGTTCTGAGGGAGGAGTCTCCCTCGGTACCGGCGAATCTGGTGGGCTGGGGGAAGGGGGAGGTGAAGACTGGGAGGGTGGGAGGGGCGGAGGAGAAAGCTCCGCAGTTTGCTGAGCTTGCAGCGGATCCAGCAGCTCCAGAGGAGGAAGGGAAGAGGGATCTTCCAAGTGGAGCATGGAAGGGAGGGGATCTTGGAGCTGGAGGACGGGACCGGAGAGGTGAGGCATCGGTTCCAGCATAGGGGGACTCAAGGGCTGCTCGCCAGTGAGTTGCCGTCCCTTCTTTTGTTTTGAAGATTTTTCTTTCGGTTTTGTTGCCCTCGTGGATTGTTTTGAGGGCTTAGATTTTTTCTTAGGCGGCTCCGCTGAGGAAGCATTTGCCTGGCTCAATTCTCGCCTATCTCCAGCATGTGGAGAGGGAGGCAGAGTGAGCTCTTGGGTTGGGGAGGAATGGGAGGGAGGAGGGAGCGTCTGTGGAGCCAAGGCGCGCTCGTAAAGCAGCGCTTTTAAGCGGGCATCTCTGCCTTTTCGGGCTCTAGTGGTAAAGCTCAGGCAGATTTCACATGATTGAAGATTGTGAGCCTCTCCCAAACATAATAAGCATTTGGAGTGTTTATCAGCCTCGGGTAAGGTAGCCCCGCAGGCTGAGCAATTTTTAAAATACGGAGAAGACATGCTAGCCTGAGTTTTAGAAGGGTAGTCAGCCGGTCCGAGTCGGGGGTGGAGAAGACGGAGTTAGAGAGAAGCAGTCCTAGTCAAAAGCCGGTAGAGTGGAAAGAGCAAGCGAATGTTCCAAGATGCTGCCGGATTAGCGCAGAAAAAGGAACTAGAGTGCGCCCGCACGCGGCGGGATATATATACCGAGGGGGCGGGGTGGGGTGGGCGGAGCTTCAAAATATTCATTTTTATTTCATTAAACTTAGAATGTTCCGGATTTCTGCGCATGCGCGAGAGGAAACCCATAGGTGTGGATTTCGCAGAGGACACGAAGAATAAATACAAAGTCTGTCACGGCCTCCACGTTTTCTCCCTCTATTTCCCAGTTGTCAATCATTCTTGTTGCCATCATCTTTTTGAGTTTTTTTGATGTTTAGCTGCAACCCAGCTTTTGCGCTTTCTTCTTTCATCTTGATTAGAAGGCTCCTCAGGTCCTCCTCTCTTTCGACCATCAAAGTGGTATCATCTGCATATCTAAGGTTGTTAATGTTTCTTCCAGCAATTTTCACCCCAGCCTTGCATTCATCCAGCCCCGCACATCGCATGATGTGTTCTGCATACAAGTTGAATAGGTTGGGGGAGAGTATACAACCCTGCCGTACGACTTTCCCAATCTTGAACCAGTCTGTTGTTCCATGGTCTGTTCTGACTGCTGCTACTTGGTCCTTGTACAGATTCCTCAGGAGAGAGATAAGGTGACTTGGTATGCCCATACCACCAAGAACTTGCTGCCATTTATTATGATCCACACAGTCAAAGGCTTTAGAATAGTCAAAAAAACAGAAATGGATGTTTTTCTGAGACTCCCTGCCTTTCTCCATTATCCAGCGGATATTGGCAATTTGGTCTCTTGTTCCTCTGCCTTTTCTAAACCCAGCTTGAACATCTGGCAACTCTCGCTCCAGAGAATAAGAGGAGGCTGCTTTTGGATTAGTAATATGGGATGGAGATGACAACCATGCCCTGTCTGTAAACATTTCACCTACATCTATGGCAAGCATCCTCAGAGGTTGTGAGGTCTGGAATCTATTAGTTACTCAGCTCTAATATAAAGAGTAAGTTCACTATTGTTTTCTTCCCTGTTTCCAGAAGTCACCGTTCTTGTATTTGAGTGCACTGAATATCATCCCAACCTTGGGTATAAAAATAGATTTATTTGTCCACACTCTACTTATATTTTAGCACAAAGCCACCCAAGAGATGCATCACTGACAGCAGATACTCGGAACCTATCCAAATCACTTGTTCCTGTCACTTTTCTCCATGGCTAAGGAACAGAATATCAACTAAGCAAAAAAAAAAATAGTCCTTCTCTCAGCATTTCATCTTATGGACATTGGTGCCAAATTATAGGGAAGTAAAGTCTGCAGAGCAGTAAAGAAACCAACTGAGGCAGCATTCAATTTCATCTGGAGATGGGATGAGCATGAGTACACTCCCAACTCACAGTTTCCTCCCTCTTCCTGTGCTATGGCATGGATACATACGTGGAACCAGAGAAGTGGAAGGCTTTTCTGCTGGGAGCTGAACTCCTCTTGATGTCTTCATCTGGGTCATTGCACAGTGAAAAGAGGAAAGAGAGGAATTAAATTTAGTAGAACACAAATGATATTTTTGCAAGGATCTGATCTACAGCAGGGACAGGCAAAGTGCATTCTCCTTGACATAGTGGCCCTACCTCAAGTCTGTGCAAATCTGTATCTGTTTCGAGTGCCATCCACACAGAGAAAGAACGCTATTCCAGGTTTTGTATGGCTAACATATGTAACACAAAGAAAAATGGCTAGATGGTGCTAAAGGGGTGCATTTTGCACAACCCCTATTTCATCTGATCAATTCTGTTACAGACGTGTGATGTTAGAACAGGTATGGGCAAACTTGGGCCCTCCTGGTGTTTTGGACTTCAACTCCCACAATTCCTAACAGCCTACTGGCTGTTAGGAATTGTGGGAGTTGAAGTCCAAAACACCAGGAGGGCCCAAGTTTGCCCAAGTCTGTGCTAGAAGTATATATATCTTTCATAGCCTATGAGGCAGCTCCAAGAGTCTCCAAGTGAATATATTTAAGCAGTGAGAGTGGTTCTTTGCTCACTTGTTTTGGCCTGGACGGTGCTGTTTTTCAGGCACTGCTGGACAGTGGTTCTTTCTATTAGAAAGTAAGTTATTTCCTATGAGAAGGGCTGACTCTCAGATTCTTCTACTGGACTCTCTCTGCTCAAACTGTTTGACCCTTGTTCCCCAAGCAGTTTGATTAAGCAGTCTTCTGACACCTCCAAAAATTAAGACATCTCCTATAAAAGTTTTGAGCTAATAAATTATTATTATTATTATTATTATTATTATTATTATTATTATTATTTGAAACAGACAAGATCACTCTGGTGGTTGTTGCATTGGATCACACGTCAGACACTTCCCAAGTGTCTAGGACTGTGTGATGTATCGGTAAATAATGTGTGCAGATCCCAGTAAGGTGACCTTTTGCAGCTGGCAGATGGTAAGCTTGTCAGCGCTGATTGTTTTTAAGTGCAGGCTAAGGCACTGCACTCAGTGTGCCGATCACCACTGGGACCACCTTGACTGGCTTGTGCCAATGTCTTTGCAGTTCGATCTTTAAATCCTCATATCGTGTCAGCTTTTCCAGTTGTTCCTCTTCAATCCTGCTCTCGCCTGGGATTGCAACATCGACAACCCATACTTTGTTTATTATTATCATTATTATTATTATTTCCTCTTTCTCTTTTTTTTTCTTCCCTTTTTTTTACTCCTTTCCCTCTATTTCTTTTACTTTTCCAACTTTTCTTAATCATATTGTTCAGCTACTTTTTATGTAAACAAACACTTTATACCTTCTCTTTTCTGGAATCTTTTATTATCAATAGAAAGCAATTTTAAAAAGTTTTGAACTATGCTTTTCCTCCCTTAGAATTAACAGCATTCTATATGTATCAGTAGAATAAAGGTTCAAACAGCAGAATTTAATAACTGCATGGTAGACTAGGCAATGGACGCTTACTATGATGAATTTGTGATTACCTTGAAGACTTGGCTTTATGGAATTATTTAATCTGTATTTTAATGTATTAACATATTATGATATTAATATGTTTTAACTTATTTGTGTATGAATTTCCTGTTAGCCGGCCTGGGTCCCTCTTCGGAGGTTATAAAAGCTCTAAATAAATAATAATAATATTATCCTATGCTCTCAGTTTCAGATAATAAGAAGAGACTGCTTTTGGATTAGTAATATGGGATGGAGATGACAATCATGCCCTGTCTGTAAACATTCACAGGGTATATGGCTGGCCACTACTGGGAAGGATGCTGAGTGAGAGATGCAACTAACTTGACTTGGCATGATAAGACTTCAGGTACCCCAAAGATTTGCTAGTCACATGTTGTTTGCTTAGAACTACGACACCTATCAGCAATCCATAACTAAGAGACCTAGAATCACAGTTAGCAAGCCTACAATAGGATTAAGGTAGATAGCTTACAAACCATGCAGATTAAGTGTTGCTCAAACCCACTAAAATCACATCAGGGAAAAGAAGCCAGTTAGAAGGAGTTAGCAAATACAGTTAGTCACTCAGAGCATGTGAAAACACTTCGGACAAGGCTAAACTAAGTGACGCAAATGTGCAATACTCCTGTTTTCGTGGCCTTGGATGGAATGCAACAGAAGAGCCTAACCAACGTGCCAGAGGATGCGTCATCAGGGAGATGTACATACCTTTGATATCTTTCTTGGAAAAAGACATTTGGCCTAGGGTGTTATTTGGTTGACTAATGCTGGACACATAATATTTAATCCACTCCTTGGTTATGTTTAAAACCTTTTTAATATTTGAATTTGATATTTCATTTTCAAATATTTTAAGTATTTACTTGCGTCTGTTAGTGCCCTACATGTGATACATGGAAACATGGCATATTATGACAGGAGATGAGACACAGGCCCTTCTCTCTCCCTCACCTAGCTACCTCTGCAAGCCTAGACAAACTACTAGTGTGGAAGGAAAAGAAACAACTAAGGATGCAGCTATATTGCAGAATAATTAAGCACAGTATAAGCACAGTATAAGCACAGTAAATAATAATAATAATAATAATAATAATAATAATAATAATAATTGCAGTTTGGCACCACTTTAACTGCCATGGAGTCATACAAGTTGGTAGTTTACAAGGTCTTTAACATTCACTACCAAAGAGAGTTGGTGTTTTCTTGTATTTTGGTGTATTGCTTTAATTGTTTTGATTTGCTTTAAGTCGTGTATTTTGTTACGCTATGTTTTATTGAGGCCTCGGCCTGTGTAAGCCGCATCGAGTCCTTCGGGAGATGATAGCGGGGCACAAATAAAAGATAATGATAATAATAATAATAATAATAATAATAATAATAGGTGCTTCACGACACTACAAGCCCCAGGATTCCACAACATGGAGCCATGGTGGTGTCAAACTGCATTTTTTCTAGGGTGCAGATACACCCTAAATGAGTAATTTTTCACTGAATATTCCAGTCATCAGAACCTGGCAGTCTTAGTACAGCCACAATGAGACAAACCTCTCTGCAGACAATACAAAACAAGCAATTTCTCTCTAAAACATTATTGATTGCATCTGAACTTATTTGATCTGAAGGCAAATTCCTACTCTAGAACTGAACTGTACCATGAAACTAAATAGGCAACAGATTCATTGGGTTGTTGTAGGTTTTTTCGGGCTATATGGCCATGGTCTAGAGGCATTCTCTCCTGACATTTCGCCTGCATCTATGGCAAGCATCCTCAGAGGTAGTGAGGTCTGTTGGAACTAGGAAAGTGGGTTTATATATCTGTGGAATGACCAGAGTGGGACAAAGAACTGGCTACCAGTATTAAAAAACTCTAAAATTACAACAGCAAAACAACAGAGAGGAAACAATCAGCCAACCTACAACCTAGCTCTAGCTTTTTCTTCTTGAAAATATCTTAGCAGCATAAACTATTTATTTATTTCGAATATTTATACCCCACCCTTCTCAACCCCCTGGGGGGAGGGTCTCAGGGCGGCTTCCAGTCGGCAACAATTTGATGCCTCTATGTACACATAATAAAATACATAACAACCGATAATTATATATAGTTAAAAACATTAAGTCAACACAATTAAAATCTACTAACAATTACCAGTCTGGTGCTGTTATCTAGCCAAATTCTGTGATTGGATACTCCATCAAACTTATCCTCAGTCCATTTCCAAGCCATTGTCAACATTGTCATTGTCCATCTAACTACCCAAAGGCCTGGTCCCACATCCACGTTTTAACTTCTTTCTAAAGGAGAGGAGGGATTAAGATGACCTAATTTCCCTGGGGAGTGAATTCCACAGGCGTGGGGCCACCACCGAGAAGGCCCTGACCCTCGTCCCCACCAAGCGCATTTGAGACAGAGGCAGGGCAGAGAACGAGGCCTCCCCAGAAGATCTTAAACTCCGAGGTGGGGCGTAGAAGGAGATACGTTCGGACAGGTATGCTGGACCGGAATAGTATACCACACTATCCACTGTCATGTGTGTGCACCCTACAACTCATGATAAGAGTGAATACACCTGCACACTTGCCCTGTTATACTCTTTGGAAGGTTGATCTGATATATTTATGGTGACCTACCCAAAAGTCGTTTCAGCTCCGGAAAGCCCTAGACCAGTGGTCTCAACCTATGGGTCCCCAGGTGTTTTGGCCCTCAACTCCCAGAAACCCTAACAGCTGGTAAACTTGCTGGGATTTCTGGGAGTTGTAGGCCAAAACACCTGGGGACCCCAGGTTGAGGACCCCTGCTCTAGACCAATGGTTCTCAACCTGTGRSTCCCCAGRTGTTTTGGCCTCCAACTCCCAGAAATCCTAACAGCTGGTAAACTGACTGGGATTTCTGGGAGTTGTAGGCCAAACACCTGAGGACTCACAGGTTGAGAACCACTGCTCTATAGGATTGCCTGAAATTGCTATAGTGTGGTGAAGAGAAAACCAAGGAAACACTGCCAAATGCAAATACTGGAGCAAAGCAATTGGGTAACATGCAATCTATGCTAGGGTGATCTAACTAGAGTGACTGACATGGACACAAAGATGGTTGGGAGAGAGGTTACTACCTGAAAACAAGGAAGCCATTGAGACGGACAGGCCACTCTTGGACAATTGAATGAGGTTAGATCCATCGTTACCATCTGCATGATATGGTGATGACAAAACATTGCATGTCAGCAGGAGGGGAGGGGAGGGGAAGGGTGGGTCTAAACCAGGCATGGGCAAACTTTGGCCCTCCAGGTGTTTTGGACTTCAACTCCCGCTATTCCTAACAGCCTCAGGTCCCTTCCTTTTCCCCCTCAGCCGCTTAAGCGGCTGAGGGGGAAAGGGACCTAAGGCTGTTAGGAATTGTGGGAGCTGAAGTCCAAAACACATGGAGGACCAAAGTTGGCCCATGCGTGGTCTAAACAGAAGATAAAGGACAAGGACTCCCCCAACCAAGCAAGAACACATGATCCTACAGATAAGAGCAATGGCTTTCCAACTTCCTGCCCCAAGGCCTTCAAAATGAGTCTGGTGCATATCCTCTGGTGAATACACCAAAAGTATTCAGCAGCCCTCTCGGTCAATTATTTATTCATTTATTTATTTACTATATTTATATACCGCCCCTCTCAGCAAAGAGGCGACTCACAAACTGGCAACAATTCAATGCCTCAATAATTATAACAAGTAAAAACAAGAAATTCTGTTAAAAACAATAGCATACGATATAAGAAATATTAAAACATTGTCGTGAGCGTCTCCATGTCAAATCGTTACTCCATTGCATTATCAAGTAGTTCCATAATTCCATTTAGCTATGCCGTATTTGGGAAGGCATGCTCAAAAAGCCAGGTTTTCACCTTTTTTCGAAAAGTCAGGAGGGAGGGAGCCGATCTTATATTTATTTATTTACAGTATTTATATTCCACCCTTCTCACTCCGAAAGGGACTCAGGGCGGATTATAATGTACACATATATGGCAAACATTCAATACCAAAGACACACAACAGATATGGACAGACAGTCCTGGCCGCCAGGGGAGCTGTCGCTTTCATCGTCCATCTGCGACACTGATGAAGTACTTCCGCATTCCCTGCATGCTTGCTGGAGTCTTTTTTATGGCCTTGTAAATTAGTTAAATTAGTCTCCCCACACATAGGTGGTACCTAATTTTCCTACTTGACAGATGCAACTGTCTTTCGGGTTGCAAAGGTCAAAAACAAGCTACACAATTGGTCGGAAGCTCACTCCGATCCGGGTTGGCTTAGAACTCATGACCTTGTAGTCAGAAGTGATCTTAATGCAGCTGACACTCAGCCAGCTGCGCCACAGTCCCGGTGCTGTGCAAAGTTCCTTTCTCTAGGCAGGGCGTTCCACAGTCGAGGGGACACTGCTAAGAAGGCCCTGTCTCTTGTCCCCGCCAGATGCATCTGCAAAGAAGGCGGGAGAGCAGGTCCTCCCCAGAAGATCTTAACATCCTAGGTGGTTCATAAGGTGAGATACGTTCGGATAGGTAAGTTGGACCTAAACCGTGTAGGGCTTTGTAGGCTAAAGCCAGCACTTTGAATTGTGCCCGGAAGCAAACAGGCAGCCAGTGGAGCTGGTGCAACAGAGGAATTGTGTGCTCCCTGAGCGCCGCTCCTGTTAGCAACCTGGCTGCCACTCATTGGGCTATTTGCAGCTTCCGAACAGTCTTCGAAGGCAACCCCACGTAGAGCATGTTGCAGTAGTCTATACAGGATGTAACCAGAGTGTGGACTACCGTGGCCAAGTCAGACTTCCCAAGGCAACCAAAAACCCTTTCTATTTGCATAAAGCAAACTGTTAATGCTGTAGAAATTCAGAAACTTCTGGGAAGCCTCAGAATCTCAAACCAAACTGTTTGAAAACTGCTGTATCGAAGGCTTCAGAAGAGCTTGCTAACTGTGAGCTCCCTCTTCCCAACACAATATTCTGACTGTTGTTCCTAGGATGTGCAAATATTACAAGTTGCAGTGAAGATCTCAAACCATTCACTCTGACTCATCTGGGCATTAACAGCACACATATTTACATCTCTTTCTGTAATCTCTTTAAACATCTATTTGAACACTGCCACATAGTGAACAAATGGCAGTCTTAGTAAAGAGAGGGAATGGGAAATTTATTATTTTACTCTATTAATTATTATTATTATTATTATTATATTTATTATTTTACTCTATTATTGTTATTATTACATTTATTGTTTTACTCTATTATTATTACGTTTATTATTTTACTCTATTATTACTGTTATTACATTTTGATTATTTTATTATATTTTTATTATATTATATAATAAAAATATAATGAAATAATTATATTTTTATTTTTATTACATTTATGATTATAAATTTATTATTTCATTCTATTATTATTATTATTACATTTATTGTTTTACTCTATTATTATTACATTTATTATTTTACTCTATTATTACTGTTATTACATTTCGATTATTTTACTATATTATTATTTTTATTACATTTATGATTTTACTCTATTAATATTGGAAGGATACATAAGCACATTTACACTGAAGAAGGTGAGAATAATGGTTTCATCAGAGTTGGAAAGTCTTGCCTTAAATTACAGTTTTATTTAAATATTCAAAAGCATTTAACCTACTGATGCCTTAATTAATATAATTTTATTAGTATCTATTTTTATTTTGAAATTGACCAGTAGCTGCTGCATTTCCCACCGTCGACTTATGCTCGAGTCAATACATTTTCCCAGTGTTTTGTGGTAAAACTAGGTGATTCAGTTTATAATTGGGTTGGCTTATACTCAAGTATATAAAGTATATGTTTTCTTTTTAATTTGTTGGAAGGTGCTTTAGTCTCAAGCTGTGAAAAAAGGCAATAGAGGCACAAATATAATAAACAACAATAACAATAATAAATCCTGTTCTACTTATTGTTACTAAACAAGAGTGACTGTAAAGCGATCCATTTTGGCAAGCAAAAATGTCCCCTTTGCCTTCTTTCAAGGTCAATGCCAGACCACATGCTTCAGTTGCAGAAGTGCGAGCCCACAATATCTCTTTTGATGAGAATCAGCCAATACAGCTGGAAAAAAGACTTTTGCCAGAAATCTTAAGAAAGCAATTAGCAATCTGAGTGGAGAGGACAGGACTAGATGGAATGCTGGTTTCAGTATAGTAAGACATATTGGTCAGTCTGGATAAAGACATGGAAGCACAGTGCTCTTTCCTACAAAGCCATCTTACCTTTGATCTCGTATTCATCCACCTCTTCAGCCGATCCAGAGTCAGAAAGACGCGCTGAATCTCGGGAGCTGAAGTGGGACCCGCTATCTGTTGCCAAAAGACCTAGGGGAATGTTGGCAAAGAAGATCATGGAAGTCATGCATGAACATAACTTGCAATCTGTGTGAATGGGCAGCACTGACCACTAGACAGAATGTGGGTTTCACTTCAATGCAAAGAAAGGGAGCCAGCAGATATGTAGAAGATCTCAGCTCACTCACAGACTGTCTCTAGCTTTTCTAGTCTCATTTAGCAGTTTCACACCTTGACAATCTCACTTTTCCCTTCCTCTTTTTCAGGCCTGGGCAAACTTTGGCCCTACCAACTGTTAGGAAGTATGAGAGTTGAAGTCGAAAATACCTGGAGTGCCGAAGTTTGCCCAGGCCTGAGCTAGCGTCTATCAAAATAAAAGACGGGAAAACCACACATAACAATTGCTGGGACAAAAGTATAATAATAGTTAAGCAGGAGTCAACAAGAAGCAGAAGTACATATTTAAAAAGCCCCTAAACTTTGCATTATATACACTACTTGCCAAATTACCCTCCCCCGGGTATAAGATTGGGATTTCCACTCACAAGAGTACATGATAAACTGACTGATGGTTCAAGCTTGTCACAAGAAATTCAATGTGCAGATTTGACAATTATGAATTTTATATGATGTGTGGGAATGAATGGAAAAATGGAAGGATGTGTGGTTGGAGTTAATAATTTTGGAAACACCAGTATAATATTAAGGCCTGCAATGACTAACTACCTGCTTGCTGGAACTGTGATCAAAACCTGCTAATGAGAATTGATAAGAACTGTGCCAATGGTTCTTTCAAGTTAAGGAAATGTTTGCAACATTCCTTATGTTAAGAAGGAAGTCAACATAAGATCAACACCAATCAAGAAGATCAACATCTGGCCAGGAAACTGGGATGGATCCAGGATGGAAGACGTCTATCATTAATTTACAACTTTGGGACTACATCAACAGAATATTCCTATAAAAGACTCAGTCTAATAATGCTCAAAGTGTGACCGACCTGAGGAGTCTGGTTCACCCGCTATGCTCTGCTCCATGGGAAGGAGAGAGATAGTGTACCTATGGCGAGTGGCAGATTTGCACGGGAGCACTCTGGTCACTTTGGGGTTTCTTTCATAGAATCATAGAATCAAAGAGTTGGAAGAGACCTCGAGTTGGAAGGGCCATCCAGTCCAACCCCCTGCCAAGAAGCAGGAATATTGCATTCAAATCACCCCTGACAGATGGCCATCCAGCCTCTGTTTAAAAGCTTCCAAAGAAGGAGCCTCCACCACACTCCAGGGCAGAGAGTTCCACTGCTGAACAGCTCTCACAGTCAGGAAGTTCTTCCTCATGTTCAGATGGAATCTCCTCTCTTGTAGTTTGAAGCCGTTTCAAGGGAAGAGGAAGAAGTGCGCTTTTGGAGTCTTAGATTTTGTGCAGGGAGTCAGGTCCTGCTGTATGGAAAACAGAGATCTGGTCCTTGGCATTGTTCTTAGGGAAAGGATGCATTTTGGAGTTTTGAAGTTATGGTATAATGGAACTATGCATTGACAGGCTGCAGGAAAGCAGGGTCTGGCCTAATAGGTGCTTCTCCAAGGAGGGAGAAAAGGATATAGTAATATTTTGGTGTGAATGTTGAGTGTGGTGTGAATGTTGAGTGAAAATGCAATTCCCCTTTGTTTGTTTGTTTGTTWACCAATGTAATTGTAAATCCAATGTAGTTGCATAGAATCTGTATGTCTGTATGTTCAATGTCATTTTTTGTCTAAATGTTTTTCTGTAATCTGATATACCTTCTCACACTGGAAATTGCAATAAAAAGAACCTATGCTTCAAAGTCATTGAAAAGTTATTCATGACAAGCTCACTGTCCTAAATCTACTGCCTTGGAAATATAGTTGACTTTCYACCTTTGTGCATTTGGTTTTTGAGGATTTGATTATTCGTGAGCTTTATAAAAATGTCCTCTCTGAGAATCTCTAAATCTTCTGGTGCAATGTATGGTTAATTTTCATTGCACTGAAGGACCTAGAGATTATTAAAAAAGTGTAGGCAATGGTCCAGTCGTATCCG